CTATGAACGGCTTCAGGGTTGTTTTGCATGTGCTAACAATATGCACTTCGGGCAAATCGCCTATTGAGCCGTGCTCAAAGGTTTCAGACACAGACATATGAAAGTATTTAGTACTAGCTATATCCAATCAGCCAGTAGGGAGAGATATTCCCAGCACCGTCAATCGGTGGATCAACATAGAAGCTGAGACCTCCAGCCTCCTGACGAGTGGATGGGTGAGTTTCATTATAGTCAGGTCGGAATACACACAGCACGGGCCATGGATAAATCAGAACTTGGTAACTATCTCCGACTGCTCTCTCTGCATCAGTGGTATGGCTATATCCAACTACGGAGTATAGTGTAGAACCCTTGGTTTGACTGCAGGAAAGTCGATCGGGGATAGTAGATTAGTAATTACCGGTCGGCACGATCTGCAATCAGCGGCATCCGAAAATGAAACAACATCCTTGAACTTCTTGCATTCCGTGGGGTCAATATGGCTGGCAGTGGGTCGGACGCAGCTTTTGCGTACCATGAGCCAAGTATCTCGACTCTTCTCAATCAGGCTGGACTCTTGGTGGTCTTGAACCTCATCAATGTCTGTCTCGATAAGCTACTGTACTGTGGACTGATCGGTCAACTGTTCGTCGGTATCCTCTGGGGGACCCCCGGGGCAAAATGGCTGGACACGGAGACTGAAAGAGTAATCCAGCAATTGGGCTATATCGGGCTTATCATGCTTGTGTATGAAGGTGAGTCTTTTGGGTACAGGGCAATGATCCATGACTCACTTATGTAGGTGGCCTATCAACTTCAATCAAATCCATGAGAGCCAACCTCCTTATTTCGCTATGTGTTGCCCTCACTGGGATCGGGGTTCCCATGGGCTTATCATTTATCTTGGTGAAGCTGGTTTCCGCCAGCCCCCTTCAGGCCTTCGCTGCAGGCGCATCTCTCAGCGCGACCAGTCTTGGCACCACTTTCACCATATTATCAACCACTAATCTAATCCCGACACGTCTTGGTACTGTCACTACAAGTGCTGCTATGCTAGACGATGTTGTGGGCCTTGTCATGGTTCAAATCATCTCAAATCTCGGCGGTGGTACCTCTTCGTTCAACGCCGTCACTGTGGTCCGACCCTTGTTTGTCTCTATCGGCTTTGCATTAGGTGTATTCATCCTATGCGCATTCTGTCTGAAGCCGATTCTGCGAAAGGCTCTCACCATGAGAGATGATCTGCCGCAATTTATGGGATCTATGCAATTTGCTTTCCTTGCACAGACATCTATGCTGGTGGGGCTTGTTGCGGGCGCTACCTATGCAGGGACCTCCAGCCTATTCGCTGCCTATCTTGCGGGTGTGATCATTTCTTGGTTTGATGGATTGGCTGCTGATAGTTATATTCTGAACACTAACACGGATCGCGACGTTTCACAGTCCGAGCCTGGCGTGCTAGGTGGGCAGGCTACCTCTGAGCAGTCCACACCTCAGGATCTTCCAAACAGCAATACTCTAAGCATGCCGCAGGAACCTTCATACAATCCAGATAAGAAAGTGCCGAGCGGTATAGAAGTGTATGAAAAGTACTATAAAGAGCCCGTGAATCGGATTTTGATTCCATTGTTCTTCGTAAGTCTTATCCCTGGTGGCTATTATCTACCTCTAACGTGTACAGGCCTCCATCGGATTTGCTATACCTATCACTAAGATGTTCCGCGGAGAAGTTGTATGGCGCGGTATTATTTACGCCATCCTCATGATGTTTGGGAAGATGGTCACCGGCCTATGGCTCGTTCGTTTCTCGCTACCTTCGACAACAACTCTGCTGTTTACTCTTAGGAAATTGTTCTCTTGGGCTCTCTTCTCCTGTACTTCTCGTAAAAGCGAGAACAAGAAAAAGAAGAACTCAAAAAAGAAGAATTCTCGCCCTAGACGCCAATCTGCAGTTCGTACAGAACAGTCTGATCGAAATGCAGATTCTAGAAACTCGGCCGAACACAGGGGAAATTACCAAAATCCCAACCGCAATGAGCCTGTATCTGGAACAGAACCTCAAAACACCCCATCCAATCCCAGCAGTACCCTGTCCCTCCCTCCGAAACCGAAATCACTCTATCCGCCGTTTATCCTCGGACTGGCAATGGTTGCCCGAGGTGAGGTTGGCTATCTCATTGCTTCCCTCGCGGAGAGCCAGGGGATGTTCTCCAGTGGGTCTAATAAGGACGTCTCTGAAAACTATTTGGTAGTCATTTGGGCAATTTCAATCTGCACACTGGTGGGTCCTATTGCTGTGGGGACCATAGTCAAACGAGTGAAAAAGCTGCAACAGAATCGGGGATCTTTAGGCGCGGATCCTTTGGGGGTTTGGGGAATCTAACGCTAGAGAAAAGAATGCAAACTTCAATACAGCTTGAAGAGATGTAATAGAACTAGTATAGTCTATGCGGTGTAGTGTGTCTGATTAGGGGGTTTCTTTGCGTTCGTCACGTGTTAATCCATATTGCTTCGCTGTCTGTCTTTCTCAACAAACCAACGTATCCTACTACTGCTGGTCCATATTATGACTAAAGCTAAACCAGACACGCATGTCCGGATACTAGGATTGCATCTCAACCTGAGCTTCTACCATCTACATAAAAAGTTCGCATCAGGTGCTGTCAGAAGCGGAAGCCATCTTCACATGCATTAATATTTTAGACAAAATGTGGCTTAACTCCATTCAGAAACACTGTAAGATGATGTCTTATGATGTCAGTGCACAGGAGCTTGGAGACTCCCAAATGACTTCGGGCTGAGCTAAAGTTAACCTCAGGTGAGCTACAGGAACTCCAGGCCGTCCGATAGAATTGATCCATGGATGCTTCCTGCCCTGGCAGGATGATAAACCCCACGTGCCCGGTTGACTGGTATTCATCTCCTCCCATATCGGTCTGCCCGAGTGTTGCTGTCACTTCAGACACCACTGACTTCCTTCCTGAAGATGCCAGGTCGAGACAAGTGAATTAGGTAGGAAGCTTGAGGGAGTGTCTGGAATTCGAGAAAAGACATAAGCATGTTGGCACGATTTCCACTCTCCAGCAACCTTCCCACCTTCATGATCTATGCAAACCACTAACACTCTCATAAATTCTTACAGGACCTACCCCTTGTGACGCCTTGTTGGGATGATATGGCCGCTCCTGACACGGCCGCGTTCCCCAACTATAATGTTGACCTTACTCATGTGGAGGACCCCAAAGAGCGTCGTCGATTAGCCCTCGCACGCATCGACGACGCTCCGTTCGGATGGCGTCACGCTCGCGCGGTCGTTGTAGCCGGGGTAGGCTTCTTTACCGACTCCTACGACATCTTCGCCATAAACCTCTGCTCAAGCATGCTTGGTGTTGTCTTTTGGGAACACGCGAGCAACCGCCCTGGCAAGATTCCATACAGCTCGGACACTGCCATCAAGGTCTCCACCTCAGCTGGTACCGTCATCGGCCAGTTGTTCTTTGGATGGTTGGCAGATATTGTCGGTCGGAAACGCATGTACGGGATTGAGCTGATCATCATCATATTAGCTACATTGGCACAGTGCTTGTCCTCGAATTCTCCTGCAGTGTCCATAACGGGCCTTTTGGTCTTCTGGCGTACAGTGATGGGTATCGGTGTTGGTGGTGACTATCCATTATCTTCAATTATCACTTCAGAGTATGTCCTTACTCTTTACAACTGTACTCAGCTAACCCATTAGGTTCGCAAATACAAAGCATAGAGGAGCCATGATGGGAGCCGTCTTTGCCATGCAAGGCTTTGGACAGTTTGCTGCTGCTATTGTCGCGCTGATTGTGACGGTGGGTTTTAGAGGCTCCCTGGAGTCTGCAGCCTCCGTGAGTAAATGCAGTGGAGTCTGTCAGCTGGCCGTGGATAAAATGTGGCGGGTCGTCATTGGGTTCGGAGCGGTTCCGGCTTGTCTCGCGCTTTATTATCGTTTAACTATCCCTGAAACCCCGCGCTACACTTTCGATGTCGCCAGAGATTTACTGAAAGCGGATGAAGATGTTGAAGCTTACATTCTGGGGAAACATGAAGGTCATCCTGACGAGGTCAAACGGGTAGCTGTGCTTCAAAGCGCGAATATCAGACTAGTGACTCCAAAAGCAAGTTGGTCGGACTTTCGTTCGCATTTTACCACTTGGGAGGATGGCAAAGTATTGCTTGGCACTGCAGGCTCGTGGTTCTTCCTTGACGTCGGTCAGTATACTCCACTTTGACTGTAACGCGCTGACTTTATAGCGTTTTACGAACTTGGGCTCAACAATTCCATCATTTTGACAGCCATCGGCTGGAACGGTGGAAGTACTGTGTACGAATACTTCTACCGCAACGCTGTGGGCAACCTGATCTTGATCTGTGCTGGAGCCATTCCAGGATACTGGGTGACGGTTGCAACAGTCGACCGGCTAGGCCGCAAGCCAATCCAGATTACCGGATTTGTGATATTAACTATCATATTTATCATCATCGGGTTCGCGTATGAGCCGCTGAAGAGGTCCGACAACGGATTATTGGCATTGTACGTGGTGGCACAATTCTTCTTCAACTTTGGACCCAACGCCACCACGTTCATTGTGCCAGGGGAGTGCTTCCCTACGCGGTATCGGTCAACTTCGCATGGGATCAGTGCTGCTTCTGGAAAGATCGGTGCCATCATTGCGCAGTGTGTATTCGGGCCGCTGGCGCATCGAGGAGCGAAGGGAGGCGTTAACTCATCCGATACGCCGTGGCTCAATCATGTAATGCAGATATTCGCGCTTTTCATGTTGTGTGGGTGCTTAACCTCGTTACTTATTCCGGAGACGAAGCGTCTGACTCTGGAGTATCTTTCCGGTGAGGAACCTACACCTACACCCATGGTCACAGCCTCTGGACAGGAGCAGGGGCCGAAGCGGGATAGAACGTAGAGGAATGGTGATTGAGATGCGTGCAGGTAATTCTGGGGAGTAATAGCTAGACGGATAGGGAACAAGAGGTCTAACAGGCAATCGCCAGCACGGTAGCATTTGGACAAGAGTATGCGATAAAAAGTGTGCAATATGAATCTTTCCGCAGAAGTAAACTGCGAAGCATTATCTTAGTTCTTCTAAAATCAAATGTGATCAATGTTTGCAATATACACCAAATCAGTAACACAGTAGAAACAGCATAGATAGCATTTTGGAACCTGCGTCAGTATGTTTTCACTCACCACATCCCACCTGTATACTTTTCTCACCTCACCGACCACCTCCCAAAACAGCCTCCCTCATACCAACACCCACACCACCAAATCCAATCCACACACAGAACCAAGATGACTAGCGCCACAAACAACCGTCTAACAACCTCCATCACCACCACCGAAGCCGACCAAATGGCCTCCCTGCATCTCATAGCAGACAGCATCGCTCAACAACGCCAACTCGCCGCCCGCTCCATGCTCACCCACCCAGCCATGCTCTCCTGCCTTACCTTTTCCCTCATCATAACCTACTTCTTCACTCGCGCACTCAGCACCACCTCATCTTCCGGAGAAGGAGACGATACCTGCCCGTACCTTCTACTAATCACCTGGCCCGCCTGCATCATGGTGTATCTCCTCGCCGCAGCACACACGACACATCCGTACCTAGAGAAAGCAGGCCGTACGGGGACCTGGGTGTGGTTGTGGAGGGGAGGGACGAGGTATAAGCATCGGCGGAGAGAGCAATCACGTTCACCATCTCGATCTTCGTCTTCTACATCTAAAGTGGGAGGAGATGATACCCCCGTGCAGAAAGATCACAGCGGAAGATACGAAGAAGACGAGGAAAAAGAAGGAGATGTTATGCTCGTAACGAAATACCAAAACCGGGTGATCGGCACGCTCGTCCTGCGGATCATACACACTGAGGAGGAACTCTGGGGCCATGTGCGGGATGCGGTGGTAAGGGAACAGCTTTATCAGCAGTATACCCCTTCAACTCCAGGAACAGGGTCCTGCCAGCCAGTCGTCGGCGTCATTAGAGCTTGGACTGTGCAGCAACATCTTCGGGGAATCGGGGTGGGGAAGAATCTATTGGAGAATGCGGTTCGGATTTGTCGGGAGCGGGGGGTGAACGGGCCTGTATTTTCGGATTGTCATGCGAATGAGGTGCTCGGGTTGCCGGTTGTGTGTAATGGGGAGTTGCTGAGGAGGGAGAGGTGGGCGAGGGAGGTGTTCGAGAGGGTGAAGAGGGAGGTCGATGATGCAGTTGGTGTTTAAGGGGTGATGGTGCAGGTACCCATGGGGTGATGTGATGTGTGTAGTGCAGTGCAGTGCAGATGCATTACACAATACGGGGTACTTTGCATTTAACCATGAGTATGACGTGAATGTCACAAGGAGACGGATGGAAAGAATGGAATGAATGGAATGGAATGGAATGGATGATGAATAGATCCATAGCATAATACTAAAATCAATCCATCATCGGCTACACTACAAAGAACATTCATGCCACTGCAGTACCCTCCTCACTGAAGAAAAGTACATTACTGTAAGTAACAACTGAAACATCCCCAATCAAACCAAAGCACTCCCCCCAAAAAAACAACAAATCAATGCAGTAATATTCATATTAATTAATGCAAGCATCCAATAACCCCATCCCACCAAAAAAAAAAAAAAAAAAAAAAGAAAACCTAACCTGAACCACGTCACCCGATGGATGAAGGCCAGCTTGGATCCCCTAGACTACGTCGGGTCAGGATTGAACTTTCCCCCCGATCTGGTAATCCCGGGGTGCGATCCCGCATTTCGTCTATTCTGATTTGCTACACCTGAAACCTGCATTGTCTGATGGTCCCGTATTCTAGTCAGTTACGGGGCCTACGGCTGGTATTGCCGTGTATTGCCGCTGATAAATATAGGGTCTGGTGGGTCTGCCAAGGGTCTTGGTGGATCGGCTGGCTTGGGGTCTCCTGTTTGGGATCGTAGCTGTTGGGAAAATCCGGAGGTGAGATATTTATTGATTTATTAGTACCTTTGTTCTCGCTGTTTCTTTCTTTCACCTTTTCTTCCTCTTCCTCACCTACATACCTACATCCAATCCACGCAAACAACACTCGTTTCGTTGTTATCCACATCCACATCCACATCTACAAACAACACTCGTTCCACAAACACACACACACACTCTCTCTCTCTCTCTCTCTCTCTCTCTCTCTCTACTACCAAACCACACCCTCTCCGAGGAGCCAATAGCAAAATGTCCACCACAACCGCCACAGCCACAACCACCGCCAGCACGTGCACCTCCACGGGCAACCTGTACGTCCTCCCCGTGCAAGACGCAGCATGCGCGCTCCCCAACACCAACAACGCGAGCGCCATCATGGACAAATGCTGTTCGCCCGCCAGCCCAACCAAATACGACAACGACTGCGGAATCTACTGTCTGGCACAAGGGCAGGACGTGAAGGAGCTTCTCTCCTGCATTCAGTCCAACGGGGCGGTCGAGGACCCCTTCTGCTCCGGTAACTTGACTGCGACGGCGACGGCGAGCGTGACGGGCACGAAGGCTACGGGATCTTCTACGAAGACGGGGACGAGTACAGGCAGTGCGGCGAGTGAGACGGGATCGTCTGCGGCTGTGCCTATGAAGCAGGTTGGGGTTAGTAAGGTTGGACTGGGCATGTTGGGGATGGTGCTGTGTGGGGCTGTTTTGGGGGGTTTTTAAATTCATGGATTTTGTTGATATGGGGGTGGGGTATGATATGATGGTAGTTGGGGGATGGGTTTCGGGGTTGAATGTATTCTACTATTTTCGATTCGATTCGGTTCGAATTCTATGATTGTAATGTTACTTATGTATCATTGATTTAATTACTATCTCTCTCTCTCTCTCTGCTGAGTTGAGGTAGCTACTACACCCGCCATTTCCCATGTACTTCAGCTCGCACCCAGAAACATGCCACCGTCGCAGCGAACAACAACACTCCCACTGTAATAGCAGCCCGCTCATATATCCCCGACTCCGTCAGGGCGGAGCCTCGTGGAATCAACAGCCCCGTCAGCGGCGTGCCAAGCAACGCCCCGACTCCCCGCACCAGATACAGCGCCCCATTGACGCTAGTGAAATGCTGTACGCCGAAGAGCTCCACCAGCGATGCGGGGAAGAGAGAGATATACGCGCTAGCAAAGGCGCCATACAGGATCGTGAAGACGATGAAGAGTCCATGTGCTGCGGCGCTCGAGACCAGGGATGAGGGCAGCCAGAAGGCGAAGACGGCGACGGCGCTGAGAAGCGTCGTGGCCGCGAGGGCATTGATTCTGCCGAGCTTGTCGGCTGCGTAGCCGATGACGATGCGGGAGACAAAGTTCGATGCGTTGCTTAGCGTGATGAAGTTAGCTGCTGTCGTGGCGCTGTAGCCCAGGGCTTGGGCGTATGCGGCGTAGAAGAAGAGCGGCGTGGAGTAGCCGGCGGATTGAAGGAAACAGCCGAGGGCTTGGGCCGTGAAGCGTTTGGAGCGGGCTACACGCCAGTTAACGAGCGGGACGGAGAAGAGTCGGACCCATTTGGGACGAGGGTGGGAGCGGCTGCTGGATGATCCGGCTGTTTGCAGTTTGACTTGTTCGTGGAATTTGGGCTCCCAGCGCAGGATGCTGCCGGCGGCGGTAACGGTCGTCAGTGAGATGCAGCCTGAGATGCGCAGGGCGTTGCGGAAGCCCACATGGGAGATCATGGCCCGCAGTGCAGGCGGCCAGATCATGCCCCCCACTCCGGTCCCCGAGATGATGATTCCCATGGCGAGGCCGCGACGTTTGCTGAACCAGGTTGGGGCGACTGCCATGGTGGGAACGTAGGCCATGCAGGTGCCAATGCCCAGGAGTAAGCCTTGTGTCAGAGCAAAGTGCCATAGAGCCTTGCTGAAACTGGCGAGGATGTAGGCGATGCCGAATACCCAGCCGCCGGCGATGATCACGGCTTGTGGGGAGAAGAGCTTCGCCCAGGACATGGCGAAAGGGCCGGCCATCGACATTAACGCAATGGCCAGTGTGCCGATCAGGTCGATGAGCGCAGTTGTGCTTCCGGTAAAAGGAGTGTTCGGTTCGCGGGCCATCTCTTCATAGAGGGATTGGTAGACTCCAAAGGAGAACACGAAAGCGCAGGTCGTGATCATCACGATGAATCCGGCTGCCACGACGGCGACATAGTGCCTTGGCTGTCAGAACCATCGGACTTGTTGTAGATTGGTGAGCTCTTACCATTGGGGATAAACCGGTTCAGGAACAGGCTCACTCCTGCTATTCAAAGCCCGGTCCGCATTCTGCGGCAAGGATGACTCCTGCTCAGCCGCCGACCGGGAGCGATCAGACATTTCTACTTCTATCTCCTGGCACGCCATGACTACCCATGAGAAGCACAAGGTGGATCGATCGATCCAACCAAGCCTTATTAAAGTTGATCTGATAAAACGGTTGCTTGCCGAGTCTCGTTTCCGCGGCTAAAGCATCAGCCCGCCGCACACGGCAATCTCACAGCTTCATTTACCGGCGCTGCGGATCCGGGGTATACCAGGTATATTATAGGCGGATGAAGCCGCCTGACCACCCCCCATCAAAGCCAATATTTGAGCCGATCTCTTAGCGATCCGGCAGTCCCACGCCTCAACTACCTTCATTGGCTGCACATTCACCGTGAGCCATTTTCGTCATGGTACTGCACGTCACAAGGCCAACCCAAGCGAGCTTCCGGATCCCGTAGCGTATAAGGCTGAGCAGCTTTCCATAAAAGATGTATGTACAATATCGACAAACCTAACCATGGCTCTCCTCCTCAGCAAGGACAAAGTCGGGTTCGAGATCATACAGATCAGAGTGTTGATTAACCCATTCCCGGCAAAGATAATTATTATTCGCCAAATTTTGCACCATACCTAAAACTTCCTGCAGCTGCAGCACGCACGAGGCATCTGTTTCTTGATACATCATGAGCACTTGGGCGCAGAGAAGTATGGGAAGCGGTGTGAACGGGGAGATCTATCGGACATCAGTATAGCTAGCTAAATGAAGGAGAACGTTGCAAGTCACCTCGAAGTAACTCAGCTGTAACACCGCCTCTGTCAGGCGAATAATCTCCTGTACAGTTAGGAGCGCCCGCTGTCGACATTGTCGCAGCGTCTCGCTATTCTCAGTCGCACGAGCCACTAGCTCCAGCGTCATACAGTGGTATAGAATAGCCGATTGTATCATAAGATTAGGGGTGAGAGACACCGGTTCGGCTGGCAAAGTGGGCGTAACTGACTGGACTGCCGAGATGGTCCGACTCTTCTTGACTAGTACAGCGTCTAGCCAGCGATGTCGCTCCCAGAAGCTGTTGGATATGCCGCTGTCGGCTTGCTCAGCTTCTGCCTGCTGTCGATGCAATACCGTCTTCCCACAAAGTGAAGCTAGAATGACCATTTCCGAAAGCTCTGCTCTGAGGAGAGGTCTATCTTCAACGATGGTCTTCGAGAGAAAGCCCGTCATCTGGCTTAGCTGACCTGTCTGGAAGGTCTCCTCTTTCGCGGGTAATCGTGTCGCAATCTGTCAACCATCAGCTAGGTACGCCGGCAATCAAAGCATCGACATGACATACAATTCGCTCGTCAAAGGTCAGCGGGCTCTCGTGTCTCAAGGAGATAAGTCGGTCCAGAATGTACGCTACCCAGAAGACACGACGCTTCTCCTCCGCCCAGACAAGGTCCTCGAATGGGTTTGCTTGGTGAGATCCTGTATTGTCCCCCTTATCAAGATCAAGCTTGTGCAGGTCCATCAGCTGCACAAGTCGGATGCCCTGACCGGCGCTCACCCACCCGCGACGGAAGTTATGGTGAGTGAATTCGTAAACAGCAAGTATCAGTAAAGCCTGAACATGCTCTATTTGGTCAATTTCGGAATCTCCATCTACTAGTTGTAGATAGCCGAGGAGCTGCCGAACACACTGGTATAGGGGCTCGCATAGATGCTCCAGCTGGGCAGACATGGATGTAGTTATCGTCCACATGGCGTACTGCAAGCATCTTCTCGATACAGACTTGTTGGAATCCCTGGTCCAGGAAAGGTAGCGCCGTGCGTTGAGAATGGGAACGAAAACGTGTGCACGATCAAAGTACAACTGGTCACTTGCTTGCTCAGCATAACATCACGGAAAAAGGAATCATGATACCTACAGTTCGGCATGTAATAAGTTCGAAACCGGCACTGTCCCTACGCTTGGTGCTCCCGCAGGGGCGTTGAACTCGTTGAGAAGTACATTTAACTGGGGCTCCCCAGTCCAGCCATGCACTGTGGGTTGCGCAGCAACATCACCGCTTGTGGATGTGTCTGCGGACACGGGATCTTGTGTCTGTCCAAACAGTATATTCTCGAGATTCGCTGTTCCCATAAGTCTCTGTTGATATTTTCCAGAGTAGAGCATACTACTCACCGATACGCACCTGCAAGGTTTTCAGATGGCCTTTCTTGGGACCCCGGCGGGTAGGCTGCGGGTTAAAGACACATGTTATGCCCGCGTTAGAACAATTAATGCATTGAGGATGATTCCCATCACAGCGCATCTTTCGGCGACGGCATTCTGCGCATGCAGAGCCAGGGCGATTGCGAGATTGAGGTTGATCACTGGAAGGCGAAGGGCTGGACATAGCTGGTGCGTAGGCGAATGTTGAGTCAAACAAGGGAATGCACGTGTGCCGTTTGCATCAGGTGGTGATGGACGGATATATGCCTAGCTGCGACACAGGAACCCTAAGTAGATCTTGGCTCCCACTGAAAGACGACAAGCCATGCCGAGCCGGTTAGTGCGCTTTATGTTCCGAGCTATAGGACATCCTTCAAAATGAAAGGGGCGGGGGCGGGGGCAGAAGGGCTAGTAGCTGAGCTGGTGTTCAAGTAAATGTGCTTCCAATACATGATTAGCGCCATATGCAATTTGCAGATAAGCATGAAAGGGTAATCCTTGACGGGCTTTGCCTGTTGCGGAAACCCGAGCGAGGCCAGCACAAGCAGTGTCATAGAACTCAGATCCATAGAGATCGGCGCTCCCGGGCTCGTCTGCATGCCAGAATCCTAGACCTCGTCACGGAAGTTCGATCATGATGATTTGGAATAGATTGTATGAAGATCCGTAAGGTAAATTATGCACCGGCGAGGGTTCTTTTTGAAAGAATACCATTCGCAGGCTATATACCTGCCGCAAATCAATTATTGCGCAGGCTACATCTATCCAATGATCTCTTCCGCTGGTATCTCCAGTCAATAAGACTAAGCTTTTCTAGGGTCATGGCAAAATTCCCAGGATCGGTAATGCAGCGGCTACTGCGTGATGAGTTTCGGAGAATGCGGCCGGAACACTTGACTCAGCTTCCGTTTCAGCTGAGGTGACGGGTGTAGGAGGCTAGTCATGATACTGCAAGGTCATTGCACACCGCAACTGAGACCCAAGGTGGCTGCATAAGTTTGTCAATAGTTTATTCCCACAATCCTAAATGATGAGTCGATTCCCATCTTACTTTTTCGTTGATGAAAGGCACTAGCAGCCTTGAGCTAATACATTTCAGGGTGCATGTCGTATTTGTCGATGGACGAACAAAATGGTTTCCGCATTAATGGAATAATGGAGTGTAGTATTCGAAGAGATAGAGCTTATAAAATGGATGCCGATTGGATATATGTTGCCTATAGTGTAATAGATATCTTTGTATTCCGTATACGTTTATTTCCTCATCTTGGTTTGGATTTAAAAATAAGTCTGTTCTTCCGGCAAACCGGACAAACCGTATTCGCATTGCTGGAGCTGCACACTCTATCCTGCGTGCAGCGGTTAGCTTTTAAACGTGCAGGCTAGAAAGATTGGCGTATTCCCGGGGATACTTAATGTGAGAGCGTGCTGGAGAATTTCGGAGATACTCCCAAAAAGGGGTGTAGTAGCTCAGGTGGGCCTCGTGCATCTGGGAAAGAGATCGTCGCAAATGGGTGGATATCTTCGGCTTTTGCTGGGTTCTGATGATTCCTAATGACGGTATGAGTTGATTTCAAATCCCTGCTACTTCCATATTTCCTTTGCAGCTTATCTTCAGTTGGCCACCATCAACCGGGGTCAAAAGACCATGTCTTTTTCCACTTACATGTCTCCCACTATGTATTCCGGAAAGGCAATTCCGAAGGTTGCTGTTATGAGGGTTTATTTCTAATAACTTAAAATCCGCTTCATAGGGCTGAACAACACGATCCACCGGTTACACCCAAAAGCTACCATAGACGGCAAGATGTCAGTGACCGCGGCCCCTGTTAATTTAATAACTCTCTCGGGATTGCTTGATCGCGATATGGACATAGCGTACATTGTTTGGTGTGCAGTGCAGGCCGTGAACTAGAATACAATATGTGTGGTGGGTGTGGAGAGAGGTTTCTAATTTTTGGCCTATTGAGGTAAAGTGCAAGAGGAAAGGAAAGAGGAGATGCTTCTGGAAGTACACGTGGTCGGACATGGGAGGCCTACAGAAACCTCAGGCCACGCCCCGACAAGGCCATTGTTGCAATTGGAGAAATGGGCTGGGATTGGGGAAGAAGAAAAAATCAATTTAAAAAAAAAAAAAAAAAAAAAAACCAAACAAATTCAGCTCAGCTCTCGGTCTAGTGGAACTCTTAGGTAGCTGACTAGCAGTCTATCACACTAATAGAAAAATCGTGCGAGTCAGCCGCATGTTGAATCAATGCATTGTTCCTACTAGTAGCCCACTTGATTCCGGAAATGCCTCACAAATCCATTCTCCGAGGAAATAGCTTCCCTGGCCTATGATTTCTATCACCTTACCACTATAGCTTCCTTTCACGCTAGGTCCTAGAAGTGTCATGTCTCCCGCCGCCTACCCGTACTATAGCCATGATGTTTCGGGTGATCATCCCGCAAGACACACCAGAGGAACCCATGCTTTTCCCCGCGGATCCATTCGATCGATGATTAACCGTGTCAAATTATTGGTCCTTCAATATGTCTTTGGTTAGTACCATCTTATTGCTGATCACCGTATAAAAAATTTCTCGGGAGAGTTCCGCGTTTCCCAACAAGGGCAAGGCTAGATTCCCTGTATTTTCTAGGGAGACCAATCTCTGCCGCTCGTGCTTTCATTGCGTTTGGAGAAGGGTTGACAGCCTGGGCTGACTCGCGGAGGACAGTTGATCTCACGTTCACTTGCCCAAAAAATCCGCATGAAGTCTTCCCAAATTTCCTCAAAGATTCGCCATCTGTACAGTCTTGAACCCCTTCCAATTCTCCAGAGTCTCGGTACAAGCCTGTTTGTATGCCGGTATCCCACCACAAAAATTAAGCATCTGCCGCTTCTTCCCTGGTATATTGGCGCCCATATACCAAGAGTCCGCCCGAGTAAACAGTGTCGCGTTAGCGATTTCATCCGCCCATTTGGTCCATGAGTCTGCTGCCTCTGGTGTAGCCTCGATAGACGCCAGTCGATTGGCCCGCATTCTCTGGATTGTATCGATGATAATCTGACCCTGTACTTCAATAGTCGAGGGTACATTGCTAAGTGCGCTCGGTCCATGCACTCCGCACATGTAGAACAGATTGGGGTATCCGCTAAGCGTCAAACCCAAGTATGTTTTTGCTCCATCCTTCCATTCTTCCTTCAGGGATATGCCCTCCGTGCTGTGAAGACCTAAGTTTGTCAAGCCCCCCGTCAAACCATCAAACCCAGTCGCCAATGCGACCGCGTCAAGCTCATGGTAGGCTCCACTGCTTGTGACAATACCGTGGGGCCGGAATTCAACAATTTTCTCCTCGCGCACATTGACTAAGTGGACGTTCGGCTGGTTGAACACTTCGTAGTAATTCAGTTCCAGTGCCGATCGTTTCGCTCCAAGGGGATGTGGTGGATCCAACGGTGCCAGGAGGTCCCGCTTTCTGGGGTCGTGGATTCTCGAACGCGTCTTTTGAGCCCAGAAGTCGTACAAGGCACGGTTTGCTTGCAGATCGGTCAAGTTATCGATATATGTTCCAAGAATGTAATTAAAACCGCCCTTTTTCCATGCATATTCATAAATAGCCTCACGCTCCTCGGGTGAAACGTCAAATGTCCGTGTGGGTACTTGCGTTGCTACATAGCCCGCAAAGGTCTTACCACGGTCTCGAAAGACGTGCGGATACATGGACCTGATGACCTCCTGGTCTTGGGGAAGTTGAAGCTGTCGCATGGGCAAAGCCAGGTTGGGTGTTCTTTGAAAAACCGTCAGAGTGCCTGCTTCTTTTGCCCACTCTTGAATAATCTGAATTCCTGTTGCGCCTGTGCCTATCACTGCCACTTTCTTCCCTTGGATATTGACGCTTTCCTCTGGCCAGTATTCGGAGTGATAGATCTCGCCCTTGAAACTCTCTATCCCAGGAAAAGCAGGCGTGTAGCTCTTCGATGTAAGTCCTGTACATGGTAAGAGGAATTGAGATTCAGTGACTCGACCATCCTCCGTTTCGGTGCGCCAACAGCTCTTTTCTCGGACGAACTGTGCCTTCACTACCTTGGCCTGGAAGTCCACATCCTTCTTGATATGGAGCTTTTTATCGACATGGGCAAAATACCGACGCAGCTCCTGGCCGGAGGGGTAAACTTCGCTCCACGACCAATCCTCCCAAACCTCCGGCATAGACAGCTGATAAATCCAGCTTTCCGAATCGACCCTGACACCTGGATAGATGTTATTTGCCCACGTCCCTCCTAATTCAGTCCCTGTTTCGTAGATTCGGCATGAATAGCCTAGTTTGCGAAGGTGATATAACATAAATATTCCCGAAAACCCAGCACCTATTATGAGGACATCATATCTGGCAGGGCGGGAGTCTGGAGGATTTACAATGTGGGCCATACCTATATCAATTCTAGGGGGGTTCATATATGTGGCAGGCAGCTAAAAGGCGAGGAAGTGATGGCTAGGAGACTCTTCAAAATGTCAATGGGAAGGAAACAGCCGGTATATGCAGTAATGCGACCGCTCCGCCATCGCCGAGGGTCTATGGTGTGATTGGTGTGATAACCCCAGGTATTTCTGTGACATGTCCACCAATCTCTGAATATGGGCCGTTGGAGAGATTGTTGTTTACTAGGGTGGTGATGTCATGTTGCGGTGCGGGTTTTAGGTGCATGCTCACATTGGACGCCTGACGGCCGTCCTCGGCTTTCGCCACTCAGTCCTAATAAAGTGGAAAATAGTGAGAAATGACCGGTGGTAAATTATTGCCCAGCCCCTTCGCTTGGTGGTTATGGTGCTTTATCGAGTTTGGGGCCCTGCTGACAGCTTGGCCCTAGTAGCTTCGAACACAACGCTTGTTGTCGTACAAGCAAATGCGTACAACCACCCTCTCGAAGAAGCCACGTGAGGGAAGGATTCGATAATATGCAGCCTTGATTGTGTAACTATTTGTCACCCGGCATTGATAAGCACTAGCGAAACATTGGCGCACGGGAAAGGTCGTTATCACATATTTGTTGTCTCTATCGAGGAAAATTGGTGTCACCCTTTAACCCCACACTTGGCGGTCCGGCCCCCTTGACGTCTGAAACGTATTGCTGCCAGGGTGTTTTCTTTCCATATGCAGGATTGATGGTGCACAATGAAGGGATAAAAGCACCTTCACGACCTTCTCAATATGAACCCGGCGAGACGATTGACCTGAATTTTGCTGTTCAGTACCGAATCAAAAATACACCCCCCATTTCCAATGTTGGCCACATAGCTAGTGGTTGGATAAGGATCATGACACACCCACCTTAAATTCGACTTCCAGAAGCTTCAGAGTCATCCAATTGGTTTGACTGGCTTCTCCAACGTATCTTGACCAGCATTGTGATGGGGTTCTGAAAACACTCCCCTAACTCTGCGGGTCTATATTCTGGCCTGCATAGATGCATGCCATGGCGTGCTATAGTAGTAGTAGATAATTTTAATCCGTTTCCCTGGCCATAGGGACTAAACATGTCTCGGCCCGGGGTAGCCGATTCAAGCTTTCTTGGATTCTGCCATTGTGGTTGTGATATGGGAGTATATAGTACGGTGGCAGTGCAACTATATATATAACCGATACAAAACACGATTTCCACCATCGACCAAAAACGATTAAAAACACCAAAATACAGCATATTCCCACATATACATAAGCATTCAAACATACTGAAGCCATTCACTAATATTAAACCACCAAAAAGAACACAACCCACACCCCATAGTCATTCATACAAAACATCTCTTCTGAGCCAGCATGCACGGGATATAGGCCGAATAGTTGGTGCGACTTTCAACAACGTGTCTCGATGGTGTAGTTGGTTATCACGTGGGTCTCATACTACAGTATGACGTGGAAGCATAACTTCCATGCGATCCCAAGGCCGGGAGTTCGAACCTCCCTCGGGACATTTCTTTTTTAGATTTCCTTGATCATAAATCACGTGACAATCAATCATCGTGCGATTGGGGTATTACACAGCTAATAAGTAAATGTTCTATCTTTCAGTTTTGTTTTTCTTTTCTTTTCCTTTCTTTGGAAGATCCCCTGCAAGCTAAAACTCCTACATCATCAACAGAGCCGGGTATCGTTTCGTTAATACCACCTAGCCCCGTGGTGCGTAGCAACCGATAGTCTATCAAGCAATGCAACTATTGTCGTGGCATTCATTGAACCGAAAGACATAACTGTGATGGCTCCATAAGTGTCTATATTATCTAGTAAAAAGTATTTTCAAGAACCGAAATCCCCCAATGATGACCATCCACATTATTCCCGCGGACCGTATTAGCAAGAGGATACCATGCCGAAACCTAGAACCTCTATATATGCTCGCCAAACAACATCAGAAAAGTCTATTGCTTTTGATACCCGGGGCTAGTGTATGAGCCTTTCACGCCAAACCCCGCTTGACCTTCCATTTCATAAATGCTGCAGCGAATGGGAACAAACATATCGAGACTGCGACCCAGGCGAAAAGAACACCGAAGTCAAGCCCGATGCGAGAATGCGTATCGAAGAGAATGGTGCGGAGTGCCTCGACGACTACCATATATTAACTTGGTTAACTGGGATATATGAGGAAACAACTTACTTCTGTGAAGAGGCCAGGCGTAACCCCATCTAAAGAAACCTGGAGCCAAATCCAAAGCATAAAAGCCAGTGGCCACGTTGGTAATCACCCAGAAGATGAGGAAGAGCGCACTCCAAGGAAGACCGATGATCATAGCCATGTTCTCACACGGGAAACCGAGGGCACACATTCCCACCCAATTCAGCATCCAGTAGACAACAAAGGACCCATGGCCGTAGGCATTGGGGTTGTTGGCGGACTGAGTGTCGGGTGCGGAGGGGTTGCTAAACGGGATCTGGAAGGCCAGTGACACGAAAGAGTAGAAGAGCGATAGGAAGAAGTATGTGCCAATGTTGGACAGGATGCGCCACAGGAGCCACTGTGGGATTTTCAGCGGAGGATGGTTGCCCTTGATGAATTGGATGTGTATGGGCATCATGAACGGAGTGTTAAAGAAGGCAAGAATGATCAGATAGATGAGACCAATGCTCACGGCCGGAGTGATGACGGCGGGCGCGAAGGGTCGAAGGTCAATGGAGGTGAATCCAATTGCCGGGTTGATGGCCTGTGGCACTTTGCTGATGTTGTACCCTTCCTGCGCGACGGTCTGTATCCAGCGCGGTCCGAAGTACGACCGGACGGCCAAGTCTAGATCGGATAAAAAGGGGATGATGTAGTTGTAATATGTGCTCGGATCGCGTGCACTGATCATGACGAACTCCGCCGCACCGTAGGGGTCGTAGGATGAGTTTCCGTTAGTGACAGCGTTGCGAAGAAGAGCAGTGGCATTAGAGTTGACAATAACAGCTGCATAAGCGTGCTCGTCGTACACCGACTGGCGCACAGCCCAGGGGTCATTATGGAACTCTGCAGGAGACTTGATCATGTAACCTAGATGCTCGCTGCTTGAGTCAAGTATTTGGTTCACGACGTCAGTCACGGCAGGGCCCACGATTGGAGTCTCATTTCGGTAGGGCTCCAACTGGCCATCGAAGTCGACAACCCAAACAGTTAGAGCAGGAAACCGGGACGCCACCTGAAATTGTACGGCCCAGAACAGGGATAGAATGCAAAGGATGAAGACACAGAGCAGTAAAACTGTAGATTAACAATTAGAGAAGAAGTAGTCATAATCTAAGGGTTTAGCACCAACCTGTCCGGCCCCACTGGAAGAACACGTTGCGACGAGCAGCTTTAAGTGCAGGATCAAAGAAAGAGACGGCCGCAGGAGGGGCCTCAGCCTTGTCGCCAGCCTCGACCATCTGGACTTTGTCGGAGCCCATACTGTGGCCCGAGTACAAGGACACAAGGCCGAAGTGTGAGGAGGAATGGTAAGGGTAGCGTAGGAAAGAGGGAAAACCACAGCAGATAAGAATATGATGCCATCCGACGCCAAGGAGGCCCAGCGGCGCGATGGACAGATTTAAAAGAGTCCATGATCAGCCTGGTACCCATCGCAACCATTTTCCTCCGGTGGCTCACTGAGCGCTATCAGAAGTCGGCAACGGCGAATCCGGGAAATTATCCGAATAGGGTAATAATCGAATTCCGAGACCAGAGTTCGCCTTTTCGGAGCGCGAAAGTGTAAGAAGTTCGTTCTCGGGCTTACAGCTCGGCATGCGTGGTCTAACGCTAACAACGGGAACAACCTTTTTCTAACTTGACCACGATGAGGTCTTCTACCTTATAAAGAGTGCATATTCTCATGCTTAAATACGCACTTATAAAACAAGACGCTTGATCATGATAAGGCTCGGCGTGGTCTGAAGTGGGCGGTGAGGTGACTGGCAGAATGTTAGACCCGGTCATTTCTCGGCTGAGCCGAGCCAAGCGGAAATTCCGGCTATGTTTTTAAGGGAACTGGCTAGACCCGGGATTACCCCTAGCAGGCCCAGCTTGGTTTGTCCCGTGCATTCCAATCTTATCTGATACGACCGGGCATAACGCTGCTTGTGCTCCTTTCAGATTACAAATAAATAAGCATCGCCTCGGATGCCTGGACAGTGAATGTCGCCCGTCCTGCTGTTGCTTGCGTCGTCTCCATATCCTTTGTGCCCTGTAATTCGCATGTCGCGTTCGCAAAAGTCTGTCCTCCGACGGTGATCGCCCCCTCCCCGACGGTCGTTGTTGTGGCGTCTCCAGTTAATCGCAACGCGGATACGGAAGTGGATGTCGAGGGAATGCCACTCAGTGTCACGCTCACGCTGCTCCGTGTCCCTGAGGTATAATACTCCGAGTTGTACAGCAGTACGCGAACGGGCTGGTCACTGCTATCGTAGAAGGCGTATGCTGCGAACCGGCTATTCCCGGTGTCTAGCTGGGCGACTTTGGAGGCACCAGAGAGGGCAAGGGCGGCGGTATAGGCGCCGTAGAATGGCGCATTCACCGATTCGTCCCACCAGCAATACGGGCCTGTACCATGGGTTAACTTGCGCCAACCAGACATAAGCAACAACATGAGATACGTACAGTTGCCAATTGTTCCTTGGTGGAAGAATAATTGCTGTCAAAGTCAGATCAAAAGGCTCGTTCGTTCTAGATCCGGGGTTGATGGCAGGTAGGCCTACTTTAACACCTAGAATGGTGGCTTGCATGACGTAGTCCAGGATCCAAAGCCCGGCACCGAAGGTAGGGCTAATACCACCACCTCCACCGGTCGCTGGCGTTATTTAGCATTTGGTCAGGCACGTGCTGGGCGAGACATACCCGAGTTCGTTTCTCCCATGACAAAATCTTTGTCGAGCTCCTGTGCAGCCACTACTTGGCTCTGAAACTCTGACACTCCCTCCACTATCTCGGTATGGCTCATCAATTCATCTAGGTCCGCGGTAGACGCGGATTGCGGATAGTAATGGTGGCAGAAAGAGCGCACGTATTGGGTGGTATCGGCTTCTTCCTCTTTCTGGGCTAAATTGCTCACATTGAATGTACCCACGCCGAAGAAGACACCAGCTTGGGCGAATGACGTTTCGTCCAAAGCGCTGCCTACAGATGCTTGCCACAAGACCTGCGAAGCTGCATCAGCTGCAGCCGTCCATGACTTACCATCCGCGATTGGATCACTTGAAGTGAAGACTGACAAGAGTTAGCGCGCCTGTTCCGAAAGTAAGTACATACAGTGAACGTACAGTTCGGTTCGTTTCCGAGCTCAATAGCATAAAGAGTAGCAACCTTTGATTTGGCGACCTTTGCTGCGGCGATTGTATTGTCGATATTGTCCAGCCGTCTATTAAGCCCTGAGCGTATCTCAGCATCCTTGCTATGAGCCCGGTAAGGGAATTCGCGATTCAATCATGTTTGCTATCAATGGCATACCAATGGTCACTGATCCTTCATAAGAACCAGCTATTTCCATGAATGAGTCACCGAATGTGAGTGTCTCTGGTGCATCATCCGGCGAGTCAACGCTGTATGAGACTGCTGACGATAAAGAGGCATTGTAGGTCGCGCGATCTCTTGTAGAAGACTTAGTACGATAACTTGCAGTACGAAGACGCCGCGGTTATCTCACTGCGTTGTGCCTCCAATTCGAACGGGCGAGTAAGATCCCGATGCATCGTGCAGTTGTCCCAAACAAAAATTTGTCAAGGGTAGTTGCTGGAAGTACTCTGGGAAGGCAAAAAACTCGAATCTTATTATTATCAGAAATCAGGTCTCTTGCAGTAACACAGGTTGACGTACGAAACGCCTACAGGAGCAGCGTCTAGCTGACCACTGGAGTTTGTTGGAGCTGATGATGGAATTTCAAAACCGAGGCCATTGACTCCGCTTCCAGCAATCAGCAGAAGAGCTGGAGCAATGAGAGCATTCATTTTGATGCCAGACATGACTAGGATCCCAATTGAACTGTACATAAAGCGATCTTATCTCTGCTCTTAGCAAGGGAGTACTTGCTCAATGGTCTCCAGAAACTCCGTATTTCAATTGCCGCAGTCGACCGAATCGACTCCTCGAGCCCATACATCCACCGGAGGTGCCCTCGGTTATTATGGAGCCAGCTCGGATAAATTGAGGTGAGGGGGCGATCAAACATCGACAGAGTCTATTGAAGACGATCGGTGAATGGCCAGGCATCGATGGACACCGGCGGAGATCGCTGTTATTGCGGGGGCGGGGCAGTGACGAATGGATCAGGAGTTCTTCCACCAAACATCAGCTGGACTGGCGACCAGCTAATAGCCATGTTCTTAATGGTGTTGTGCAAGAGCGGTTTGAGAAAGGGTAAGAGATGCTGGGAGGGAAAATGCTCTGCCGCAGTCTTCTCTCGATCCCGATCAGGCCAGTTCACGTGCCTCGAGAAATCGCATAGTTCTTTAGCTGAGAGTCTACCACCCATCGAAGAGTCCGCATATCACCCGAGCAAAACTACCAGGACGTGTCTGCTACTACTAATCAATTATGACTGTTCCATCAATTACTGCTCTTGGGGACGACCCCGATACCACGCACCGCCTAAATGCCTGTGCCTATCAGCAGTCAGCAATCACAACTTCGGGCAGCATCCAGTATGTGGCCTTTTATACCTCGTGGGAAGGATCGGACCCTAGAAGAGTTACGATTGCACGCCATGATGTTCAAGACCCTTCATCCGACTGGCAATACTTGACTTTCGAAGATTACAACCAGACGACCGATGACGGACATAATACCATATCTATCGGGATCTGTGCTGGTGATGGAACGATTCATGTGTCGTTTGATCATCACTGCGATGCGCTGAAATATCGCATCTCGCGACCAGGTCTGGCAGCCGACCCAAGCGAGTCGAGTTGGACGGCAAACAACTTCAGCCCGATTCTAGATCATCTACCCGGCTGCGACGGTCTGTTGGACGTTACATATCCACGATTCATACCTGCAGAAAAAGACATGTACTTTGAGTGTCGCATTGGAAAGTATGTAATATGCAAAGCTCGGGAGTAGCAGAATCTGACGATCAGCTCGTAGAGCAGGTGCCGGCTCCGATGTCCTATATCGCTACAGTCCTGACACTGCGCAATTCGTCCAACTGGGAACCTATCTAATTGGAAGACAGTGTAACCCGTATCCAAATGGAATATCTTATAGTCTATCAACGGATAGTCTTCACGTTACTTGGACTAACCGACACTTTATCGAGTATGAAGGAGCGGACGACCGTGCTTCCACAGCCCACAAAGCGCAAGCTGGGCCTAATGGCCCCGAGAATAACGAAGGACTATATTATGCATATAGTCGGGATAATGGCACTACATGGAGCGGGTCAAACCAAAAGTCAGTGGCTATCTTGTCAGCACGTCCAGGGACCGGACTCGAGTCCCAAGATAGCCGGCTACTCGTTAGGGATATCCCTAGAAACAGCGGTATCATGAATCAGGAGGCACAGTACGTTGACTCCGAGGGAGGGGTGCATGTATTGAACCGAGAGAACACCACCGGAAAGGAAACATGGATGCACTACTACCGCTCCCCATCGGACACTCAGTGGAGTTTCTTCGCATTACCTGACATATATCCTACGCCTACCGGACCTCGGGGCAAACTTGTCCATAGCGAGAAGCTCAATGCTGTCTTCTTCATACTTCCGTCGAATACGGAGAGTGAACTGTTGATTGCGCGGAGGAGTATGACTGGTGTACATGGAGAAATGAGTGTAGTATGGAGAGAACATGGATACAGTGGAGAGCCGCTGATCGACGAAGAAGCCTTTACAAAATTTGGGCTTCTGTCTATTCTCATATTGAGAGACAATGAGGTAGGTAAAAGGAAGGTGGCCGTGCTACAATTCGATGTCAATAACCTGGCGCAATGAGGAGCATGTGATAAGTATTGAAAAGCAAGAGAAGCAGTAATTAGTAGCAGCAATCCTAGTGGAAGCCTTCAATACGAAAGTCAATTTCATGTCAGCCCTTGCCCGTGGCGACGCAGTCACTCGCACTAGGAATACATTTTCCACCAACAGGAGAATCAGGAGATCGCCACCAGCTGTCTGAGCTGCTCGCATGGTGTTTTCCAGCCGCCTCGGATTGCTTTAGGCCGAACCTCTCATGCAACCTGGGGGAGAGATCTGCACGATCAGCCCCGCAGTTCCCCCAGGTTTTGGCCCCGGATAATAGCCTGGGCAAGCTTGTCTTGATTAGACATCGCATTCCACAGGATCTGCTACAAACTCCGTATATATCTTCTTAATGGGAGTTGGTGGCAGTATTGGGGGATATCGTTAACCAACCCGACTTCATCATGGCAGTAAGTGCGCGGAAGCCCATCGATCGCAGAGCGCTTGAGGACACCACGGTGGTGAGCAACAAGCAAGGGCCATGGTGGAAGGACACCGGTCTACGAAAGCTGAACTTGATGCTGTTTTTTCTCATGTTCAGCGAGTTTACTCAAGGCTACGATGCTTCCTTGATCAATAATGTGCAAGAGCTGAGTGTTTGGCAGGAGGGTATGTCAAGTATTGTATTTGTACTAGTCCGTTGACTGAACATGCAGTGCAGATTTTAATCACCCTCATGGTAGCCTTCTGGGAGCCATGAGCGCTATGTACTGGATAGGTGATACAGTACACTGATCTCGACGATCTCGTTATTGGTCTAACTACAATCTCAGGCAATATCGTCGGCGTTGTCTTCATTTCCTTCATTTCCGATAGGCTCGGTCGCAGATACTGCCTGTTTTTCGGCGCTATCCTATGCCTTGCTGGCACCGGAATGGCTACTGGTGCATCCAGTGCAGGTCTCTTTATCGCAGCTCGCTTGCTTCTAGGCATGGGGGGTGTAGTAGTTGCTGCGATCGGGCCAGTATGGATGGGTGAACTAGCCTACCCAGACCATCGAGCGACAGCAACTTCGATGTCCAACACTACTTACAGTGCTGGATCTATCATCGCGGCGTGGATTACATTTGGATCATTCCGACTTGCAAGTGCATGGTAAGCCCACCTGCCCGAGACCATACTTCCTCATCCTCATCAAAGATAGGGCATGGCGCATTCCCACCGTCTTCCAAGCGCTTCCATCAATAATCCAAGTAATTGGAGCATTCATTCTTCCGGAGTAAGCCATAGCAAGTCCTCATTCCCAATTAATTCCTAACAGCCATAGATCACCCCGCTGGCTCATCAGCCGCGGCCGCGAACAAGCCGCCCTCGCCATCCTAGCCAAATACCACGGCAACGGCGATGCCCAGGACATCGTAGTGCAACAGGAATACCAAGAGATGAAAGAGACCATCGAACTCGAGATAGCAGCCAAGAAGACCTCCTGGAAAGAACTCATTAACACCCGCGGAAACAGATGGCGCTCGTTCATCCTCATATGGTGTGGTGAGTTCCTCTACCCCAAACCCACCACCACCACCATCACCACCTAATGCGAGAGACAACCAGGAATCTGCAAACAATGGTCCGGCAACGGCCTAATAAGCTACTACCTCAGCAGCATGCTCAAATCCGCCGGAATAACCGCCGAGGTCGACACGACCCTGATCACCGCAACAAGCCAAATGTTCAGTTTCGCCTGTGCACTAGCCTTTGCCTTCCTTCCTGGCCGAGTCGGACGAAGACCTCTCCTGCTCTGGTCCATGGGACTCATCTGGCTCGTCTTTGCGCTCATCACGATTTGCACGGGCGTGTTCGTCGAAACAGGTAGTCAGTCTGCATCGTACGCCACTGTCGCTTTTATTTATATATACAACGGAGTACATAATCTTGGTTGGACGGGCGCGATGATGCTCTACGGTTAGTACTATCTATCCCAAATGCCTCTTATGGCCCCTTCTAGACCACAAAAAAGATCTCAATTAGACATACATAAATGGTCAAAGCAATAGCTAACTGACAAACACAGTCGTCGAAATCCTCCCCTACTCCATCCGCGCTAAAGGCATCGCTCTTTTCTGGCTCGTCACCGGCGCCACAGGGGCCTTCAACACGTATGTGAATCCACTGGGGATCGATGCCTTCGCATGGAAGTATTATTTCTTCTATGTGGGGTGGATTATTGTTGAGTTTGTGGTGGTGTATTTCTTCTTTATTGAGGTTGGTGTTCATTCTGTCCCTTCCACACCCCTATATATGATATATGCACATGCTCTTGTTCGACATCGTGGCGATGGTGGCTAATACTATGGTATATTTGCAGACCAAAGGACCGAGTCTGGAGCAGATGGCGCTGCTGTTTGATGGGAAGGATGCAGTGGTTAGTCATGCTAATCCGGTGGCGGAGGAGTTTTTGGATGAGAAGGAAAAGGAGAAGGCCGAGGCGAAGGAGATTGAAGTGGCTCGGTAGGATAGATTGAGTAGTTTCAATTATTGGATGAGGTGCTTGAGAAGGTATGAGACTGGTTATGATTTACGTTGTTGGTATGCAAGTAAAGTGAAATAGGTAATTTTGAGACTCGTTATTCCTGGTACTCGCTATTAAATCTATTCCGAACAAAAAATGACAAGCAGCAGAAAGGAATCATCACCATCGGCACATAATACTCAGCAGTGATTTCGTACGCCTGCCCATTCCCGTATGGGCAGGACATGAGACGGGAAAAACAAATGCACTAACGAAAACAAAGCATCCCGCGGCGGTATGCAATATAATGACACACAAGAAAGAAAATGAAACATAGGGAAATATAAAGGAAAAAAAAAGAAACCCGGATATTAAAGAACATAGACCGCCGTGCTGTCTATGCAATAGGATGCTGTCCCAGAATAATTTGTACAGGCGTTATCGCATAATGCAAGTTTTTTTTGGTGAAACCGTTTACTCGGGCTTGCGGCCAACCATGAGGTACATGGGAGTGAACAGCTTCTTCTCACCACCGGCAACAAGGCAGTCACCGGCCAAGGCCAGACTGTCGGCAGTCTTCTGGGAGCCCTTGGGGAAGAGACCGACCTTCTCCATGGCACCGACGAAACGGTGGGCAATGCCACGGCCCCACCAGGTCATACGAGCGATCGTGAAGAAGTCCCAGGGAGAGGTCAAGTGCTTGAAGGAACCGGCCAAGGGGTAGTACCAGGGGATGGTGTCGGGGCGGTCGGCCAAATCCTCGTTGTGGAGGAGCTCGAAACCGGCTCCCTTCATGGCATCAAGACCCTCGGAGACCTTGACCATGTTGGAGATACCGTCACCCTGCTCGATACCGAGACGGATCTTGCGGTGCTCGGCGTTGTTGTTGTCGTATTCCTCGGTCATCAACCATTCGTAGACACCGAAAACACCACCGGGCTTCAGGACACGGAAGATTTCCTTGTAGACACCCTCGAGTTCAGGAGCGTGGCAGGTGGCCTCAATGGCGTAGACAGCGTCGAAGGTGTTGTCCTCGAACTTCATCTGCATGAAGTCTCCCTTCTCGAAGGTCAACTTGTGGGCCAGACCCTCACGTTCAGCGTAGCGCGTAGCACGCTGGATCTGGTAGTCGTTGTTGTTCAGGCCGACCACGTTGGCGTCGGTGAACTTGACGATCTCACGGGCAGGGCCTCCGACACCGCAGCCAACATCGAGAACCTTCATTCCAGACTTGATGCCGATCTGATGGGCGAGGTAGTGTTCGTGGCGAGCGATGGCCTGTTGGAAGCCCTCGCCAGGGGAGAAACGGCAGAAGTGGAAGGAGGTACCCCATCCGTACTCGTAGAAGTCCGTCGCAAGGTTGTAGTAGCTATAGCGAATTCGAGTCAGTACTGAGAACCGCAGTCATGTTTCTGGGTCTAAATGGCGCTACACACTGTCTGGTCAAGGTCGCATACTCGGCACGACGGGCCTAGAACATCAAGAATATTAGTACAAGGCTTAGCGTTAATATGGGAAAGGAGTAAGTCGCAAACATACCGCACGGATCTCTTCAGTCTCTTCCTCAGCGCTCTTGTTGTCCCAGTGCTTGAAGTACTCGTCGACAGCAGCCTTCTGAGCGGCAGCGTCCTTGTTGCGCATGGCAGCAAAACCACCCTGAGCTTCAGCGGACTTTCCATGGAGAACGCGGTTGAACTCCGCATCACGCGCATGGTTCTCCTGTTCAAGAGCTGCGGGAGCCATTGTTGACAGCAATTGGAAATTAAAGTGGGATAAAAAGGGGTGGATCGGTCAAGAAGCACAGGTGTCCGGAGTAAGTGGTTCGGATACAGGGACTTGAGGAGGCAATTGAGGCAGTTTTATAGCCACAAACACGATTCTGAGAAAAGAAGAAAGGCCAAACAGGCGAACAGAAGTGAAGGAAGAGGAAAACGAAAGGATACGAAGAAGCAAGCGAGGCCAACGCAGCAGTTAATGCGATCGCCCGAAAGAAAGGGGAGGCGGAATTACGACTGACTTTGACATTTCCCCAGCCAATCACCGCTGTGCCGCTGGCCAGCCAACCAGATGGCGGGGGCTAGTCCCGAACAGGCATTCTGGGGTTCTGGCCAGGAAAAAGTTGTATCCGAAAGAGACAGTGGAACAGCGCTAAGCCGTACTAGGCAGTTGACCAGGGCGTTCCTGGTCATATCGAGAAGCTGCGTATCGCGTATCGCGTATCCGGTGCGTATTCCGCCAGGCATCACTGGATCCGCTGGTCGCACAGAAGAGGCTATGCTATCACATTGAATGCCGCAGGATCAAGGCCTGGACTGCAAGGTTTCGTTTCGGACCCTGTATGCTTAGGCATCACGCACTTTCTAATGCGATTACTATACTCCTTACGCAGATGCCTAAACAACCACTCGGGTTCATCCTTTCCATGCATGTGATGCAGGAACTTGCAGTCAAACCACGTGACTCAAATCTTGCTTATGTCACAACAGCCACACTTAGCCACAGAATGCGCCACTACGACTATCGATAATCCAGTTCTTGCTACCGACAACGCTCAACTTCGCCGCATCATCTCCGCAGGGCTTCGCGTTTCTGTGTGGAAGCGCAGCTGAGTAACACAACGACAACATGCCCCCTCCACAGATTAAGCAGGACCTGAACCGGTCCGGATGGGAGACCACCGACTTCCCCTCCGTGTGCGAGAACTGCCTGCCCGACAATCCTTACGTTCAAATGCTCAAGGAAGACCATGGCGCAGAATGCAAGATTGTAGGCAGACCTTTCCACTTTCGGACAACCAGACCATACTAACAGATTCCCAGTGCACGCGTCCTTTCACCATCTTCCGCTGGAAAGCTGATCGCACCGCGCGCCAGAAGCGTACTGCCATCTGCTTGACCTGCGCGCGTTTGAAGAACTGCTGCCAATGCTGTATGCTGGATCTGTCCTTCGGGCTGCCGATCGTCGTTCGTGATGCTGCTTTGAAGATGGTCGCCCCGGGCCCCGAAAGCACCATCAACCGCGAATACTACGCACAAGGTCACGAGAAGGAGATCGAAGAGGGGCGTGGCGCGGTGGAGGAATACGAGAAGACGGACGAGAAAGCTCGGGAGTTGCTTCGGAGGCTCGCCAACAGTGAACCCTACTACAGGAAGCCTCGCCAGATAGAGGCCGCACCCCAAGATGAGGAGGGCGCGAGTGCAGGACCCAGCGACGCACCGGTCGTACACAGCCGCTACGGAAATGGCCCGGGACCCATTCGCACAAGCGAAAGCAGAAGGGGAACGCCACTTCCGGGTAGAGGACGAGGAGGTATGCGTGGTGGTCGTGGTGGCCGCCCATTCCCTAGCGCCGCTCAGGTGCCCCCATCGGCTGAAGATATCCTACCGCCCGCGGATCCGAACATCACATCGCTCTTTGTTACTGGAGTGGAGGATGATCTTCCGGAACATACGCTGCGGACTTTCTTCACACAGTTCGGACAGCTGCGGTCGCTTATTTGCTCCCACCGTGCTCACTCTGCGTTCGTCAACTTCGCAACTCGGGAGGGTGCTGAGGCTGCTGCCAAGCAGTGCCAGGGTCGGGCTGTCATCCAAGGGTGCCCTCTGCGTGTTCGATGGGGTAAGCCCAAGCCGTTGGATAACATGGACCGGGAGGAGCGCTTGAAGAATGCCCGGGAAGGTCGGCAGGCGGCAGGCCCGCGGGCAGCCGATTCTGGAAAGAGAGCCATCACCGCTGCCGGAGAGGAGATTGGCAAAGAGCAAAAACAACGGAATTATGCTGTCGCCCCACCCCCGGGTGCTGGAGAGGTCCAGTACTCCAGTCTGTCTGGTGATTGATTTGCATTTCAACTCGCATTTTGTTTTCTACAGGGTTCGGGAACAAGGAGGTCTTATGTATGTTCGCGAGCGGGCGTTGTGTATATTTTCTACATTCTGATTAAACCATAAAATACCCCCAAAGACGCCGGAAGGAGAGAGAAAAGTTTGGGTATACTATAATACAGTCTGCAAATGCCATAGTCTGCAGTCATCCTTTCACCCACGCATAGGCTTCCAGACAGTCAGATTCCACACGGAAGACCCTCCCTCTATGACGAGCATGCCTTATCCACCTTGACAGTCTTTCCCTTAACTCTGATGGTGTCGTTATCGCCGCGCTCGATGTCGTCATGAATGCGGAGTTCTAATAGAATCACGGGTCAGCAACATATACTCAGCCATAGCATAAACCCTCTGCTAGCTACTCACCCCACTTGGCATTCTCATCATCTTGTTCCCGTACACCCTGGACAATGTTGTGTCTGAGAATGTTCGCCACTTCGAGCGCATGGTTGATCTGCATCGGAGTATCAATGCCTTCGCGGCGGTGGCTGTCGAAGTTCCGGCGAGCCTCTTGACGGGCAGCAATCATAACACGGACATCGTCTGTACGTTGAATAATGGTTAGCGTTGAACAGACTTATGGCTGTTGAGGCGGCGACTGACCCCGGAAGGCAATGCGGGTAGCGCGGAGGAGTTGGCGGTAAGCACTGCGTGCGGACAGGGCGGTTTGGGAGGACATTATGAGGTTTGATAGTGAGATTTATCGAAGAATTCAATCTGTTGACCTTTTAGAACTTGTCTCCTTGTGAATCGAGTCTTTTGGGGTGGCGTACTGCGATAGTAACGGGTGATCTGATAATAAAGAGAATGGTCGTCAGGCGAATGCAGCTCGTCGCTCTGTTAATAAAGAATCCTTGATATAGAAACTACAATTAAAAACAACAAAACATATAAGAAGAAGATCTAATCAACATGCGAAAAGGTTGAATTCTGACCGTCGTTCCCTGCGGCAGTCCTTGACTTTCGATGACCTCCGAAACAGCCAAGGTTTGATTGGCCCACTGGGTGGCGGCAAGTCGGGGCAGAAAAAAATGGAAAAGCACTTTGTCTTTTTGCTCAAACAGTCCGTTGGGCGCTTCTCACTCTTTCCCATTCTCCCCTCAAATCACCCCGCGTGGCTCTGTTCTTGACCATGGCTACCGTTCAGACCATCAACGTTACTCTTCCTTCCCTGCCTTCTGGCTGGAGTGCCGATAAGGACTTCAAGGCCGTTGGCACCGTCTCCGCTGCCACCCAGAGGAACCTCGAGCCTGTTGGCCCTCACTTCCTGGCCCACGCACGCAGAGTACGTATCTAGCGACCGATCCAGTGCGATAATGGCTCACTGCTAACAACCCTCCAGAAGCGCCACCACCGCACCTTCTCCGAGGATGAGCGTATCCAGGCCCAGCAGAACGTGAAGAGCACCGAGGACGAGGAGGATGATGACATCTCCGAGGACGAGGACCCTATGATGCTCTCCAGAGATGCCAAGGACTGGAAGGTATGCAATACCAAAATCGTCGATATAAGTATGATTCTTACACACTACAGAGCCAAGATCACTACCAGGTTCTCGGTCTGTCCAAGTACCGCTGGCGTGCCACCCCCGAGCAGATCAAGCGCGCCCACCGCAAGAAGGTCCTTCGCCACCACCCCGACAAGAAGGCCGCCATGGGTGACCGCGACGAGAACGACAGCTTCTTCAAGTGCATCCAGAAGGCTACTGAGGTTCTCCTGGACCCCACTAAGCGTCGTCAGTTCGACTCTGTAGACGAGGCTGCCGATGTCGAGCCCCCCACCAAGAAAGAGGCTGCCAAGGGCAACTTCTTCAAGCTCTGGCGCCCTGTCTTCGAGTCCGAGGGCCGTTTCTCCAAGATCCAGCCCGTGCCCCAGCTCGGTGACGAGAACAGCACCCAGGAGGAGGTCGAGACCTTCTACAACTTCTGGTATGACTTCGACAGCTGGCGTACCTTCGAGTACCTGGACGAGGATGTGCCGGATGACAACGAGAACCGTGACCAGAAGCGTCACATGGAGAAGAAGAACGCCAACGCCCGCCGCAAGCGCAAGACCGAGGACACCACCCGTCTCCGCCACCTTGTGGACGACTGCGCTGCTGGTGACGAGCGTATCAAGAAGTTCCGTAAGGCCGCTCGTGCCGACAAGGACCGCAAGCGTCTCGAAAAGGAGGCTGAGATCAAGCGTCTGGCCGAGGAGAAGGAGAAGGCCCGCCTGGAGGAGGAGCAGCGCAAGAAGGACGCCGAGGAGGCTGCCAAGGCCGAGCGTGAGCAGAACAAGAAGGCCAAGGAAGCCGCTAAGAACGCCGCCAAGAAGAACAAGCGTGTTCTCAAGGGCTCCGTCAAGGATGTCAACTACTTCGGCGAGGGTGGCGAGCCCTCCGCTGCTCAGGTTGACTCCGTTCTGGGCGATGTTGACCTCGTCATCAGCAAGATCGACGCTGAGGAGCTTGCTGGTCTGGCTGGACGCCTTACCGCTGCTGGCAAGGACGCTGCTGCCGTCAAGAACGTGTACGCCGAGGAGGTCAAGCGCCTGGTTGGTGCTGGCAAGCTGAAGGAGGGCGAGGCCAAGTTCTTTGCTTGAGCGGACTGGAGTATAGGATGTATGATGTCGATGGATTTACATGCTACGCAGGTGTGACCGAACTGGTCAACAAGGTATATAGATCGATAGAGTTGACTACAAAATAATGAGAGCAACGACCTTATGGAGTTCATCTGTTATTCGAAAATGCTATTCTACTTTCCGTAGTGTACAGTAGTCCGGGATGTTCCTAGCGTGCCCATCAGTCGCACCCTGCAGATTCATCTTGACTGGATTCTCCACAGAAGATGGACTACTGCAGTCCCATCGGAAGCGAGCTTTCAGTCTAAAAGACTACTATATGCCAAACCATCCGCTGGCAGAAGGCATTGCGGGCACGTGCCAGGGACGAGGAGTCCCGTGCTCCCCACTGGCTGAGTGGTTGAGCAATTGTCCAATGAAATGTCACCTCCTCTGTCTAAGTTATCCGCTTTTCCAAACTGGGCATTAGCGGGCATTTCCTTGTTGGCCAGTCAGCGACAATCGACTCGCAACGTGCAGAACATCTCACCAGATGGCATCAGCTGCAATTCTGCCATGTACAACAGCAGCCGACAACGTTCGACAATGCCGACGCAGACGCTGTGGGGATCTGGCATACTGGTGTCGTCGGTTAGACAAGTCTGGCCAATCGCAATTCCTTGATTAAATTGCTCCGGGCTAGAATAGTTGCGGCACGAATAACCACGCGCGTGATGGACCGGTATAGAGTTCACAGCAGCCGTGAAGAAAGATATAAAGATGTCCTCAGCAGCCCAAAATCATTTTGAATTTTTTTGTCTGGTGTGCTTCTCTGTGGATACTACGTCGGATCCCTCTCTTAATATATTTTCAGCTTTCGTCCGCTGATATAAAGGGCATCATGTTCACCAAGCAGTCCCTCGTGACCCTCCTCGGAGGTCTTTCTCTGGCTATGGCCCAGACCACCACGGAGGAATACCCCTCCTTGGCTGAGATTCGTGCCGCACAGGCTACGGTGCAGCCTTACTCTCCCGTTTCGAATGTCAAGGGACTGGCGTTCAACCGCTTTGTGAACATCTGGTTGGAGAACACCGTATGTCCTCAGCTGTTACATCTGGTATATGCAGGGGTTGAGCCACAGCTGACATGCCATTTCTGATAGGATTTTGATGCTGCTGCTGCCACCGAGCATCTGCCGGTGCTGGCCAAGAAGGGTCTCCTTTTGAACAACTTCTGGGCTATCACTCACCCTTCGGAGCCGAACTACTGCGCATCTGCTGCTGGTGACACTTTCGGCATGGACAATGATGACTTTCATCAGATTCCTTCCAATGTTTCTACCATAGCCGATTTGTTCGATACCAAGAACATCGCCTGGGGTGAATACCAGGAAGGCCTCCCCTACCCTGGGTACCAGGGTTACCGCTACCCCGAGAGCGGTGCCAACGACTATGTTCGCAAGCACAATCCTCTGATCCTGTTTGACTCGGTCACCGAAGATGCTCTCCGTCTGCGCCAAATCAAGAACTTCAGTAGCTTCTACGATGATCTGGAGAACCACCGTCTTCCGCAGTACATGTTCATCACTCCCAACATGACCAACGATGGCCACGACACCAACATCACCTTTTCCGGCGACTGGACTTGGAGCTTCCTATCTGAGCTTCTGGAGAACGATTACTTCACCAAGGATACTCTTATTATGCTTACCTTTGATGAGACCGGCACCTATGAAATTGGAAACAACATCTACACCTTCCTTCTCGGCGGCGCTGTCCCGGATGATCTTCTGGGTACCAAGGATGACACCTTCTACACCCACTATTCCGTCATCGCTTCCCTGTCTGCCAACTGGGGCCTCCCCTCCTTGGGCCGCTGGGACTGCGGTGCGAACCTGTTCAGCTGGCTGGCCAAGAAGACCGGCTATGTCAACTACGAGGTTGATACGAGCAACCTGTATATGAACGAGACTCACTGGGGTCCTCTGTCCGACGATGACTACAGCGAGTACTACGCTGGCTGGCCTGTTCCCACAACTGATGCCAGCTGCTCTGCTGGCAATGGAATTCTTTCTACAGTCAAGAAGACCTACGAGGGCTTGACTGCTACCTTCAACTACACCACCCCCTTTCCCTACGACTCTCGCAGCGGAAACAATGTCGGTGTGAAGTACAGCCGTACCCTGGTAAGACACTCCACTCCCCTTGCCTCTTATCTATTGAAAACTCTAACCCCGTGGTAGAAGAATGGCAAGGTCGAGTCCGGTACTTCCGAGTAAGCTGACGCGTCGACATTTTTGGCCGGGAGGATATCAAATGGAATGTGGACCCATGAATCTGATCTGTAATATACTAATGCAATAAATCAATTGATCTACTACCCTCCTCCATCATGCTCTGAAGTCCAACACAAAGCTCAAATAGCCCTGGATCGGGTCTCTACACATATCCAAGTTTCTGCCTTTGTCTGCAGGCGGACGTGTCACGGCGGGGTGAGCGTGACTCATGCACATAAACCCTGACTACCATCACCATGGCTTCTACAATCAAACAAACCGAAAAACAGGCCAAAAGCACCCTTCAAAACATCAGAGAGAAGTTCAAAATGTACCCTAGCACGGAGCACCTCCACGTAAGAGACGATTTCGAACTACAGCCGCCCGACCAAGTTGATATCAACCAAAGCCCCGAGAATGCCACCAACATCAGTATATTGGAAGACATCCCACCCAACGGCGGATACGGCTGGGTGTGCACATTCTGCGTATTCATGATCAACGTACACACCTGGGGCATTAACAGCGCCTGGGGTGTGATTCTAGACTACTACCTCTCGAACTCGACCTTCCCCGGCGCCAGCCACTTCGACTATGCCATCATCGGCGGGCTCCAGGTCTCCCTATCCCTTTTGATCGGACCCATCGTCACCAAATCCAACGAAATACTAGGCACAACCATCACTCTTCTCACCGGCACAGCCCTCATCTTCACCGGTCTCTTCGCCGCCTCCTACTCCACTCAAGTCTGGCACCTCGTACTCACCCAAGGCATCGCCTTCGGCTTCGGCATGGGCTTCCTCTACCTAACCGCCACCTCCATCCTCCCGAAATGGTTTTCCACCAAACGCAGCTTCTCCAGCGGCATTGCCGCCTCCGGCGCCGGCCTTGGCGGCCTCGCATACAACCTCGCCGCCGGCCGCGCCATCCAATCCATGGGCGTGCAATCCACCTACCGCATCCTCGCTTTCTGCGCCCTAGGCTCCCACCTCGTCTCTTTCCTCCTCCTCAAAGACCGGCCTCGCTCGCGCGCCCAACCCCGTCAACGAACCTTCAACCACCGCGACCTCGGCCACCTCGAAGTCCTCCTCATCATCGTATGGGGCATCTCCACTGACCTCGGATACATCACCCTTCTCTACTCCCTCCCCAACTACGCCTCCTCCATCGGCCTCTCCCCACAGCAGGGGTCCGTCGCCGGCGCTATCCTCAACCTCGGCCTTGTCCTTGGTCGTCCGGTCGTCGGCTACATCAGTGATGCCTACGGCCGAATCACCATCTCCATGGCTATGACAGCGTCGTGTGCCATTCTCTGTCTCGCTATCTGGATCCCTGCGCATTCATATGCACTCCTGCTTCTCTTCGCGGTGCTGTGCGGTATGGTCTGCGGGACGTTCTGGGGTACTATAGCCCCTGTGCTTACTGATGTGGTCGGGTTGAATCGTCTCCCGTCGACATTTGGGATGGTGTGCTTGATGCTGGTGGCGCCGAATCTGGTGGCCGAGGCCATTGCATTGAGTATGGCGGGCAGCGGGGCCGGCTATTTGAGTGCGCAGGTGTATGTTGCTTGTATGTTTGTGTTGGGGGCGGTGTGTTTGTGGATTCTGAGGTCGTGGAAGTTTTATGAGTTGGAGGTGAAGGGGGTGAGTGAGAGTGGGGAGGTGAGGAATGGTGGTGCTGGTGCTGGAATGGTAGAGTTCTTTAGGTGGATGAGACCGGGAAAGTTGTTCTTGAGGGGGAGGGTGTAGGTGATCCTGATGGTGCTGATAGGTACTTGATGCTATTGCAGTGGTTGGTTATAGAAGTAACATTTTCTGGATAATTAGATTTAGACCTAGCTATGGGCTCAATTTCTCTCTTATAATACCTATAGAAAAGTAACAGCCCGCCAATGAAATATAAAACAAAAGTTTGCATTTTGGAAATGTCCAGGTAAGATGGATGTATAAATCAGGCTGCACATGTCTGCTTCATGAATAATACCTCTGAAATCCGTATAAGACTTTGTTCATTTCTTTAAGCTTTTGTTGTAGAGTTGAGAAGCCTTTGTAGCAGGCATTACACACATAGTAGATGCCATACAGAATCAAGCAGTTGCAATAGGTTGGAAATGGTCTGCCCGACCGAGGAAGCGAAGACCTTGAAGGTAGTCAAGGGCTGGGTTGAGCACGCGGTGAATAGGCGCGCGCTATCAATCAGCTGAGTCTGCCCCGCATCGCTCAGCCGCCTCCCTCTGGCTCACACATTTCCATGGTCACCTATGCGTAACCGTAACGTAAACGGAATGGCGAGCGAGGACCCAATAGACTTTGCACATACTGCCATAGCCCAGGTCGCTAACATCGCGTCTTTACTGGGCGTTGAGTCCAAGCGACCATTATGTGGGCGTCTCGGGGCTGAGCTCTTCCTTGTCGCCAACTACATCGACACGGCTGCCTTAGACCAGGAGAGGCGACTGCGGCTGCGAATATCCAAGCTACTGCGAGATGTGGAGGCTATGTGCAATGTAAGTGTGGCAGAAAAATATAACTCACATCGATGGAGCCTGATGAGCTTGGAATAGTGGCCGAAGAATATACCAAGAAATGACTATCCTCTTCTTGAAGCGATAGCAAAGCCATTCCCTGACGTGACATCTTATGAGAAGGCCCAGAAAAAGATTCGACGAGGACTTGATCAGCTTACCGCGTGTCCTCGTGACGCCGAGGTGGCCATTACCCATATCCAAAAATTCATTGAGCGCAATCGCAAGTCATCTAGGCGCGATGAGAGTGGAGGTATCGGCTCTAGAAGAAGAGCTGCTCGCCCAGAGCGCTCAGATCTTGCTAACGAGATTGCTCATCGAGTTCTACGAGAGCAAATGTGCTGTACTTGCCAGACCAATGGAGTGCGTAGGCAGGTGGAGAGAGGACACCTAGTGTGTCTCCTGCTACAGCCACCTTCCCAGTCAGTGGCCAGTAACAATCTGGTGCAATTTGATATGCTGTTCTCATCAAAGCCCTTCTGGAACCAGTCACAGCTCACTCACTGGCAAGATATCGAGCTGCTTGTGCCAAACGACCATACTCACGGCAAAAAGTGCGTCCGATTTTTTGATGGAGATGACGGATATAGAGATGAGAAGGCCAACAATCTATCTGCAAAAATGAGGCAACGAACAGACAAAGGCCAATTCTGCGGTTTACTCGAATCAGCCAAAGGCTGGCGCCTTTGCCTCTCTATTGAAGACCATAAGCTCTATCATTTCTTAGAGCCCCACAAGCAGAAAGTCGACCATATTCCGGGGATATCTTTGGCCGAAATCCTCAGCATCTACCATCTAACGGCACGAATGAAGCTTGTACTAGCTTATATAATAGCATACTCTGTCTGGCAGTACTACGATACAGATTGGATGCGAACAAAATGGACAAGCGAGAATATTCAATTCATGAGGGAAAGTGATACCTCCGGGGATAGGTGCCAGGGTAAGCTTTTTACCTGGAAACCATATGTATCCGTGGAATTCAAAGATGAAGGTCCGCTGTGCTACGAACAATATAAGATACCAGGGATGGTGCATGTTTACCCAAGGATCAGAGCCCTTGGTATTATGCTGGTTGAGATAGGTCTTGGTTTTCCGCTTCCCGAGCGTGAGAATCAACTTGCCCAGCAGTCCTTTGCCGCCGAAGTGAATACTGAACTGCTCACAGCCATCAACTACGCAAGGGATGAAGAGCGCTGGAAGAATTTCGACTACCCTGACTATATGAGTTCAATATGCCACTGTTTGGAGCCCGGCACATTCGACCAGGCAGCTTGTGCTGAAGGTTTATCTGCCTCTGAACAGAGACAAAACCTCAAGCAACGAAGAAACATGTTATACGAGAAAGTTGTGTTTCCGCTTGAGAACCTTCTACAGGGCACGAAATGGATCGACAACTATGACAAGATAGCCCCGCTCAATGTCCTTTCCCAGGATGCAAAAATGAAAGAAGCCAATGTACCGGACAATCCTGACAAGGGCAAAGCGCTAGAGCGCAGGAGAAAGCGCACTGAAAGCGAGAAAAACGCTAGCAACTGGCTATTAGACTTGAAAGAGTTTAACAGGGAGCTAGCTCAAGTTGCACCAGCAGCGGGATCAAGCGGGGTATCCCGGCGCGTACGGATAGCGATTTTGGACACTGGTTACGACGATAATGCCCCGTTTTTCTTTTCACCTGCTGTTATGGAACGTCTTAAAGGCTGGAAGGACTGGGTTGATGGTTCGAGCCAGCCCGAAGATTGTCATGGACATGGCACTCATTTGGTGTCTCTCGTTCTGAAGTGCGCTCCCGATGCGGATATTTATGTAGCACGCATTGCCAAAAGCCCCCATCAACTCTTAAATTCCAGCGAGAAAGTTGCAGACGTTAGTGCTCCGAAGGAGGAAATATTGAATGTGACTCAGCTGACTCCCTTAGGCGATTTCTTGGGCAAGTAAAGAATGGAAAGCCGACATCATCTCCATGTCGTTCGGCTTTGCAGACGAACAGCCGTGTATCAGTGACGCAATTCGCGAAGCGCTATACAAACGCAAAGATTCCATTCTTTTTTTTGCAGCCGCGTCAAACTATGGGGCCAATGATCGAGAGATGTTCCCCGCCAGACACGAGTCTGTCATCTCTATTCGAGGGACGAATTCAAACGGCCTATTTGCAGACTTTAACCCCCCCAAGCATGAAGATGAACCGGTAGTTTTCGGGACTCTTGGCATAGACGTTCCTTCTGCGTGGCCCAACTCTGATGGCGAAGAGCATAGGTCTGGAACATCAGTTGCTACGGCCATAGCGGCCGGAATAGCAGGGTCTCTTCTGGGATACATTAGTTCCCGCCCTCCCGAGAAACCATTCTACAATGCCAAATTCCGAGCCTGGACACGTCGGGGTATGAATGCAATCTTCAGGGCCATATCCTCTAACACGCTCCAGTCAGGTTATTTGTACCTGACGGTACGGGGATTGATAGGTATTCCGGAGGATGCCCGGTGGGCAAAAATTGGCGGCAGGTTATCTGGGCTCTGATTATGAGAACTGATTACTCTATGTCAGGGATTACTCCCAACTATCGAAGAAATACAGCTGACTCGACTATCCCCCTCTCCAATTTCTGTCACATTCATACTCCCTTGGTCATGATCACTGGATAAAGTGCCCGGATCAGCTGAACCTATGATGATCTCTTCCACGGCATCGTCGTCCTCATCTGTCTCATCTTCATCATCTTTGCCCAAGTAGGCGGCCTTGTGCCTCAGCTCATCGTATTTAACTCTATCGCCTTTCCAACTCTTGACTTCTATCTTGAGAAGCTGATATGCAAACACTATATCCTCGCCCGCCCGCCAAGTATCTGATTCTTCTGTGCTGGTCAATTTGGCGAGATTAGCTCCAGCGCCAACCTGAATTCCCGGCGATGGAATATTGCCGCCAACCTCAATCTCCCCATTGTGGCGCTGGTTGTTCTCCATACTGGCGGTAAATCCTTTCGCTATCATGAGACCCGTAACCATGTAAACAGGGTTCCTGAGCCCAGGAATCCTGCCTGCCTTGGTCACAGCCTGAACCCGAGGGGACTTTAGACGTGCTTGGATCTCTTCTAGCGAAGGGTCGGTGACAAAGTATACTGTCTCCAGTTGGTCCATCGTATAGTTTGATCGCACATCGCTACCCCGTCCGCCCGATAGCTTTCCGGATACCGTCTGCAGGAACACTGCCCACAAGCTCATCGAGACATCGCGGCTGTCGCCTCGTTCAATACTTCGCTCGTAGTCCGTAAATCTTTCTATCCGCGGGTAAACTTTCTCTAGCGTCGTCGCATCGACAGTTGTCAAGGCTCGGTGCGGTCGTAGGGGGTGTGATATTATGTTCCCTAATCCGATAGGGCCCGTTCCTGGCTTGAAATGGAAGTTGGGAGAGAGGATATACGTGGGTTGCTGTGCCATTTATATGGAAAATTCAAGAGAAAAAAGCCAGAAGATTCCCGAAAGAAGACAGGAAAGAGGAAAGGAACAAGTTCGTTCTCATCGTACTGAAGTAAGAGCCGTGCAGCAGGAGCGGGGTCGGATCAATATTAGACCAGCGAGACTAGTGAGGCTGCAACCCCTCAGCTGATCCTATCTACTTGAGCACATCTCCACGTCGCATTTGGCGACTACGTACGCAACGAGATACCTGACAGCCATGGAGCGGGGTCTCAAAGAAGCTGCACAGCAATGCGTCGACCTCTTCACACAGTGCTTGGAATATCCACCACTCATGGAAAACGAGTGGGCTGAGAACCGCCTTGCTGATATGAACTTATGGATATCAGGCACCGGAGCCTGCGCCAGAGGACGAGCTTCTTTGGACTCGAGACTAGCTTCGAGGCCCGAAGCTCATGATGTCATCGTCAATTTATTGTTCCTGCTAAGTACTATGATTGACGAATGCCTAAAAAGAAGCCAAACACAAGACTTTTCGCGTGCTCATCATAATGGGGAAGATCCTGCCTCTTCTGAGAACGAAAGACAAGGGCGAGCATTTTCCCCATGGTCCGATGATTCCAGCTCTGATGGCCAGTCGACAGACCGTCATGAGTTACGGAACCCATCCGGGAATCTGTTGTATGAGTCAATGTATGACATTGAGTCGATGATGGATCAACTTTCCCGGGTCGCAGTTGCCATTCGTCGCTCTGGACGGCGCTCACGATTGCAAAAGGCAGACCAACTGTTTAACGCATCAGAGCACCAGGAGCTGGAAGGCCACCTTGTCGGAATGTTACTCTGTCAACTAAATGGTCGTATCCAAGAAAGAGACCCATCGCAATTGGATGAAGTACAATTGCGGTTGGTACACTGCAACCTCAAGCGTCGAAATCGCTTTTTGTATTCTCAAAGGCACGCCATGGGTCTGGATGCAGGCGATGTTCGACGCGCACCTGTGCCGAAACCATCTGGATCAGAACAGAAGGAGACACCTCCAAAAAACCCGTGTTGGGAATCCTCAAATAATAGCCCAATGCACGCCAATAACACCGTAATCACGGGGACCAGTGCCTCCAGATTGTCCGATGGCTTTCAGTTACCACAACCAGGCCACACACTACACCAAATAGACCACGCTAAATCCGTCACGCTTTCCGCAGTATCAACCACTGCACTCGAAGTAGATTACCCGCGCCCGCCTCAGCTGAAAGATGATGCGCGGCTCTTTCGGTGTCCCTGTTGCTGCGAAGCGCTTCCTGCAAAAATGACAGATGAAATCAGGTGGAGGTGATGTTCTCGACGCAGAACCAATCACGGCCAAGCTAACACAAGAGCAGGAAGCATATCGAAGATGATTTGAGCCCCTACACCTGTGTTTTGGCTAGTTGTGATCAGCCTTATGTCCTCTTCAATACAAAGGATAGTTGGCGACAGCACATGCTGAAGGATCACAGCAGCATGGAATATTGGACCTGTTTTGCATGTGGTGATGGGTCTCAATTCTCAAACAGGGAAGCCTTTGTACAACACACAGAGTCCTTTCATGCTGCGACCGTTCCACTAGCCCATATACCAGTCCTGGTGGAGTTGTCAAAAAAGACAATACCATCAGAAATCCGACACTGTCCACTGTGCAATTGGCCAGCAGACGATGAAGTCGAAGTGGAAAAAGATGCATTGTTCAGTCATATCGCTAAGGAGGTCCACTCTTTCTCGCTCCGGGCATTACCATGGGCGGATGATAACGGACAAGAGATTGATGAAAATTATTACAACAGCTCCGAAAAGGTCTACGACTGGCTGGTTAAGAATAACATTCAGAAGAATCCTAGCATAGAACGACCTCCCCGCGAGGAGAGGTTATGGTATGATGTCTACTTTCAGGAAAATGCTTATTTCACTTGCATCTCAGAAGCGTCGTCTTCAAATGAGCTTGCTTCCGACGAATCGAGGCAAAACGAACTGGATGAACTTAAAAGGGTGAATGAGATCGAGTCTCAAGGACAGAACAGTGAAGCAAATGCAAATATAAAACTTCATTCCTCGACGTTTGATACACAGGGAGATGATGGAGAGCAAGCTGAGGAGCTTGATATACCCATGGAACCTCGCGAGACCAAGCTTGGTGAAGATCTTTATGACCTTCAGGAAACACCTTCAATTGCTTTGAGCGACATCGTGGAGGACGCGGAAGGCCATCTCTCAATACCCGCCTATGTTTGGGGCCACTCCTCGAATTCAAAAAAAGCGGTGCTTTTTTACTTGGACACGATGACTACTGACAATTTTATGTCTCTCAGGATTGCGCAGGAATTAGAGGTTCCATTGCAACCCATTACACCAAAGCTCTTGATCCCCATCCCCAGTGATGAAGCAAATCAAACGAGCCTGACGGTACAATTTCAAACTGAGGCGAACTGGCATTTCGAACAACATTTCACGACTTCTACCACTAAGTTCTTAGTCCTGGACACGGACAAGTACGACGTAATTCTTGGGATGGAGGATACTTCTAGATACGAGTTGCTTCCACCTCTAAGTCCAGACCCGGATATGTTTGATGTAGGAGGCCCGGTAGAACTAGAGGTGGAACAGGGGAGTTTGCCTAGGAAACCAGACAGGCCTCGGTCACTGGGCGCAAGGTTGAGGTCATTGTTTAAAAGGAAACCGGGCTAATAAATTAGGTCCACGGTTGTGAGATCTCAGTCAGCTTTTCCCGATCCCGTGGGGTGCTTGCGTATTAATAAAATCGATGACTCTCAAAGATCATTTATCTAATTTTAAAGATAGGATAAAGCAGCTTATACTATTAGACAACCTTCCAAGCCATGTGACTAGAATCTTAATCCTAGTAGGGACAACTGGTCTAAAAATCAAGAACTTACCATGAAACAACTATATAACTAGTGACTGGAGAAATTTACCTGGCTAAGGCAGGGAATATATGAGATATGGCATTCTAATCACCTGTAGTAGCGCAACTCACATAAAGTAAGCTAATAAGAGATATTATGCATTCTGAGTCTGTTGACTCGAAATAGTATTCCAAGAGAATTCAATTTTCAAATGCGCACTAGCACTAGCGTGAACACTAACAGCAGACTACAGATGTCTCGCTTGACAGAATAGATTATTTTATTTTTCATCCACACCTGTACGAGATGCGTTTACTCCCATACCAAGTTTAATGTGGAATTTAAAAACAGAAAGGTTTTCCGGGTCCCTAGTACTTCATATGCGGTCTGAATTAGGTTGACAATCGCAGCCTAGACTATATAGCCTTCACCCTTACAGTGACAGAACACATGATATAAGTCATCATCTTGTTGCAATCATTGAAGCAATTCCTTTTTTCCCCTATCCTCCTCAGCACCCTTAATTTTGGCGAATGCTCAAGCGGTCATGACTTATTACTCTACGGCCATGGGACCATCAAAAGTAGGATATTCTCTTCCTGCATATTAGCAGAAAATTGGATTATACTAACCCTAATAGACCATCCAGCTAGACGGCCATGAAATCAAAGCAACAAAGGTTGAGCACCTAGATCCACGTCGAACAGTGTACCGCTTTCACCTCGAGCCAGACTCATCATGCTATCGACATATAATCCCAGAACCAGCCACATCTATCATAATCAAGCAACAAAAAGAAGACTGGGAGGAAGAGTTCAAGGACGAGAAAACAGCCTACACCAAGCTAAAAGACCTCCAGGGAGAAGTTATCCCATTTTATTACGGCCAGGGGTACTACGATGGCCTACCTGCACTTTTATTATCAGACATCATGGGGATTACTTTGGATGATCTGGCTCGCAGCAGTGAAGAAGCCCCTGAGAAGCTGATAGAGTCTTATCTGGAAGATGTCTTTGATAAGCTTTCAAAGTATAAGGCTTATTATCTAGATCAGAAATTGGATAACTTTATACTATGTGGTGATAAAGATTTTGGGTATTGTAAGGTGATGGCTGTTGATCTCGAGCAGGTTGAAATTCCGGATCAAGTTCGTCCATGGCATTGGTCTATCAATCAGGAGGGGGCAAGGTCTTTGATGGAAGAGTTTAGGTATAGACGGAATCTGAGGCACGATTCAGATCCGCTTGAGATATGGAAGGCTGGACAGGATAAGGGTGTTTCATAGTGGGTTAGATGATTCTGTCCGCACCGTGATTAGGGAAAAGGAAAGTGTAGCAAGTCAACAGTGCACCATTCCGCTGATAACCCTCGATATAAAGTAAAGCTCATAGTATGCGTATACTGAGTTCTTCTAAAAGCCATCAACGAGTGTTTGCTCTACTCATGTTATGGCTATATCATTTGGAGAAAGTTATCAATTCGATCCATGCGGATAAGAAGCAGCCCCCGGCTAAACTTCAGGCTAAACCTTCCCCCCGCACCTCACCGAAATCGCCCCACATTATGATTCAATGCCAGTCGACAACTTCAACTGAAACATGAACCAATTCAATAACACCCAGTCACCAACATCCACAACTCATCCCTACTTACTACAGCGCATACATAAAAGGGAGCAAGGGAGTAACCATGGACTTCCCAACCAGACCACCACCCTCCCTAGAAGCCCTTCAACGCTACTACATTGGTAAAGACATCGGCTCGGTCCCCAAACCCGCGGTTGTCCTAGATGTAGCCATAATCAAGCACCATTGTGCATCCATGTTGGATGCATTGAAAGCATTGGATGTGGGGTTCCGTGCACATGTCAAGACACACAAAGTATGCTCCTCCCATTTACCCACCTCTCAATTCCACGGTATGTGATGGCTAATGTTAAGACAGACTCCCCAAATCGCCCGCCTCCAAGCTGGGGAGGACAAATCCATACCCGCAAACTTTGTCATCTCCACCCTTCTGGAAGGGGAGACTCTACTCCCATTATTCAAGGAACTCCGGGCCGCCGGGAGAAAGCTGAATGTTCTCTACGGCATACCTCTTGTGCCTTCACAAGTTCCCAGGTTGGCTGCGTTAGCGCGCGAACTAGGCGAGGGAAGTATCGCTGTTATGATTGATCATCCTGATCAGGTGCCATATCTGACCGAGTTTCGGGAACTGGCGGGCCATGCACCGTCGGTGTTTCTCAAGGTGGATTCTGGATATCATCGGGCAGGACTCCCGCCTTCCATGCTGAACAAGGGGGGCTTGATCGAGAAAGTTATTTCTGGGGAGACGAAGGGGGAGCTGGTTCTGCTTGGGGTTTACTCGCATAACAGTTTGAGTTATGGGGGTGATACGCCAGAGGAGGTAATGGGGTTCTTAGTGCAAGAGATCACCGGGTGTCGGGAGGCATTGAGGAAGAATAAGGATCTGTTTACTTTGCCCGGTGGTAAGAGGAGGGAGTTAGTGGTTAGTGTCGGGGCTACGCCGCAGGTGGTTGTGGTGAAGAAGTTACTTGAGGATGAGGGGCAACTGAATGAGGAGGCAAGGCGGTTGAAGAGCTTATTGCATGAGAAGGATGTGGATGGTAAGTTGTCAGTCAAAGTTGAGCTTCATGCGGGTGTCTACCCGGTTCTGGATATGCAGCAATTGGGCACGAATATCCATCCCACTGCGGATGCAGAGAAAGAGGTTGGCATCTCGGTGGTGGCCGAGGTATGCAGTGTGTATAATGATGCCGAGCGGTCGAAGCCTGAGGCTTTGGTGGCTGCTGGGTCGTTGGCTTTGGGGAGGGAGCCGTGCAAGTTCTATCCGGGATGGGGAGTGGTCGGGGATTGGAGACGAGAGAAGGGGTCATCGCGATTGATTGTGGATCGGATCAGCCAGGAACATGCGATTGTTGCCTGGGAAGGAGAATATAGCTCTGCGATTCCACTCAAGGTCGGACAGACTGTCAGGATATATCCGAATCATGCGTGCGTGACGGGGGCTATGTATGGGTGGTATCTGGTGGTGGATTCGAGTCGGGATGGGGATGGATCGACTATTGTGGATGTTTGGCCGAGACCGACGGGGTGGTGATTGAACCCTTTCGAGTATCTATAATTCATTGGATAAACAAGCACCCAGGTTCCTCTCTACTCTCTGTAGTGGATATAATATGTTTCCCTTATCGGTCATGCCATTGACCAGTTGGCACCTAATATCAAGTAGCCGGCCTAATAAAAAGGGCGTTGTCTTTATTGTCTTTTTCTTTGGCCAGAACACAGTTCAACTCCCACTGCATATCCCTCCCCAGTACGTCAAGAATGACCACACTCTCACAATGCTGGCTGTTCAACTTGAAGCTGAATCAATGGAATCTCCACCTCGGCCCCGCCAACCAATCACGGGATTATCTTCGGCTTCCCGCGCCGTCTCCGCTCGTTCTCCCATCCGCTCTCCATGCCTCTGAACTTAGCACCGATTCCCTCCAATCTCCCACTCCTCTAGCGCTAAGCCCCCTTATTTCACACCAATGCCGCCTAGTAGACGGCCGCGTACCGACCCCATCGTCCGCGTCCGCACCGGTTGCTGGGCCTGCAGACGCCGCAAGAAGAAATGTGATGAAGCCAAGCCCATCTGTGGGGGATGCGTGCGGAATAAGCTCACCTGCCAGTGGCCGACCATCATCCCAGGCCAACCCAAAGCCAACAATATCTCCTTCATGCCTGAAGAGGATGGCCATCATGATCGACAGTCAAATGAAAATGGACCTCCTCGACAGATGAGCGTGAACCGGGAAACGTCCAGCTCGATCGAGTCCCGTTCTACCTCCCCATCTTCCCCGGAGGAGATACTACGGGAGTCTAACTCCCCAGAAGACACGTCTCGCGAGCCTCCTGCATCAGGTCCCTTGACTTCAATGGACCTTGCTCCGACTCCTGCCATCGGCAGCAGCCAAGTCCTGGGAACGTCTGCCTCCGTTAGCAATCTACTCCCCCGGAGCCTGTCCATGTTTCCGGGCCATGGACCAGACTCTTATCAGCTGCTGAGCCACTATTTAGCGACGACAGCCGACTGCATGGCCAACGGGTCTACCCCAATCAATCCATTTTTGGTTCAGATCGTGCCCCTCGCTTTCAGCAGCGATCTTCTGCTCCAGCTCGTTCTGACGCAGAGTGCTGCCCATCGGGCATTTCGCTGTCACAAGGAGTCTGACGAGGTGGCACAGAAACACTACACCTCAGCCCTTCAGCTATTCCGAAAAGGCGTTACCGATTTTATTGACGGAAAAGAATCAAATCCGCTCATGCTGACGGTAGGAGCGTTGGTGATGTGCTTTACAGAGGTATGCCTACATTACGAGGTAACTGAACGTCGCTAACGACCGCAGACGGCCAAAGGCGATATGAACGGCACGATATTTGACCATCTGACTGCTGCCAATTCTCTTCTTACTCGACTGCTCTCACAAAGCGATACAGCGGTACCCAAAGACTTGAAAGACTTTGTTATCGAATACTACACCTACACTGCGGCCGTGAGCATGATCTCTGTTGATGCTCGCGTCAGTACTCAACTGTTCTTGAACTTCGACCTCGAACAGCGGGCGCGTCAGCTGCTGCAATCAGAATATGTGGGGAATTTATGTGGTTGCTGGCTGGAGTTGTTGCTGCTGATCCCATGTATATTCGACCTAGGTCGGCAGTGGATGATGCATGATGGCCGGCCAGCTATGCCCACTGCGGATGATATTGCCATGTTCAGCTCCCTGCAAGTACAGATCATGCGGTGGACACCATATGCCTCGGTCAGCCCGGAGGTATTCCTAGCAGGGCGGATCTTCCAGCAGGCGATGCTCCTCTATCTCTACACCGCGCTAGGCGGGTTCTCCCAGGCGGAGAACGGCATGTATCAGGGATTGATCGATACCGCGATTACAGAGGCGATGACTTATCTAGGGCAGCTGTCTGGGACCGCGCGGATCAACTCCGGTCTCTGCTGGCCAATCGCTGTAGTGGGGTCCTGCCTAACCAATGCAGAACACCAGGATAGTCTACGCCGCCGGCTCACCGTCATGGTGAACACATTCGGCCTTGGCAACATGCAAAGAACTCTACTCATACTGGAACACATGTGGCAGATGCCGCTGGACGAAACCGGCCCATGGAACATCTGCCGCGCCATGCAACGGAATCAAATATGGATATCGTTTGCCTAATCAACCAGTCTATCATACAATCATCACTCATAGCGTCCTGACCAGACAGGTCGCTGCTTATTGACCCAGGTTCTTGGGGGCCTCAGTGGCAGGACCCTCAGGGGTCACATACGCCTTGGTCAGACCACCATCGACGACGAAGTCAGCTGCGTTGACGAAGCTGCTCTCATCGCTAGCCAGGAAGATGACGGCGTGGGCCTGCTCAATGGCCTCTCCGAAACGACCAGTGGGGAAGTGAACCTCGCGACGGAAGCGCTTCTCCTTGTCGTCACCGAGCCAATCCTGCAGAAGGGGGGTGCTGCATTCATTAGCTTCATCTCAAAATACACGAACGGTATATACTCACTTAAGCGGAGCGGGACACAAAGAGTTGAACCGGAAACCTGCATCATCATAATAATCAGCACCATCCCACACGCACAGCAGCAGCGCAGCAAGCAGCAACTCACCCTCCCTAGCATGCACAATGGCCAACTCGCGAGTCATAGCCAACACCGCCCCCTTACTAGCCGTATACGCCAACTGAGGCGTAGCAGCACCAACCAAAGCAACCATACTAGCCGTGTTGATAATACTTCCCTTCTTCTTGCCATGCTTCCTGAGACTCTTGACAGCATGCTTGCATCCATACCACACACCCTTGACGTTAATGTTCATGGTCAAGTCCCAGATCGCCTCGGGAGTCTCCTCCGAGTCGCCATCCTTCGCATGCATAATGCCCGCATTGTTGAAAATGACATCCAATCCACCCCAGGCATCCAGATGTCCCACGGCAGCTTCCACATCAGCCTCCTTGGAGACATCGACAACGCGAGTCTCCACCTTGCCGGAACGTTCGGGCACAACCTCGTTCACTTTGTTCAGGGCCTTTTCAAGTCCGGGGCCGCTGACATCGGTCATCAGCACGGAGGCGCCCTCGCGGAGCATGAGGATGGTGGTTTCGAGACCGATGCCTCTGCATGAAACAGTATTGTTAGCTCATTGCTTCCCACCTATTCAAAAGAGAGGAGGAGAAAGAGGGAGAGGGGAGAGAACAATACCCCGCAGCACCAGTAACGAGCGCATTCTTTCCAGCAAGTCGTCCAACCATTGTGCTAGATTATAAGATAATTGTCTGTGTATGTATGTATGTATGTATATATGTTCTTGCAATAAAGTGAAAGAATAGAATCAAAGATGAACCGATAATCGAAAAAGAGAGCGAAGATGGCCACGGTTATAAGTAGTACGGAGTACAGCCACACCAGAATTACCCTTGCTCGATAACCAGTTACCTAAAGAATAAGCTAAATAGCTACCCCTCCTTCCTCGGCAATTTAGAGTCCAGCTGCAAGCAGCTCACCGCCGTTCCGTTCCTCAGAGTAGGCACGTAGCTCTGGCGCTGTATCTATCCGCCGGCGTCGGAAGCGCGAGCGCGCCCGATAAGCAGCTAGCTGGCTAGATGATAAGCGGTGGGATGGGATGAAATGGTGGGATGGTGGGGTGGGGCGGAGGGGCTAAGTAAGTACCCCGCGGTCCGGGACCGCGGTAGCTCAGCTTTCCCCTGCTTTCCTCAGAGTGGTGCAGCGCATTTCTTGTGTCAGAGTGAAAGTGTAGTTGCGCTTTTGGCATAATCTGCATATTGAGCATAATCTATTATTTCTATCGAAGAAGATGAGTTGATTAATGAAATTGAGGGAAGAGTCTGTTGGGAATGAAGATGAGGTGTTTTGTTTCTTGGTTTTGGTTCTTTTATGGATGAATCTATTTGGAGTTCTTTTCTTGTTAGTAGTTCTGTGTTAAGTTGAATGAGATCTATAACTCTACAGTTGGTGTGCTATACTCTTATAAAGGTTGGAGAATGTTGGAAGCATTGAAGTCATCATCAAGCAACATCAATTAAGCTATACAACTATTGAAAATATCTTCTATGCCTGCTGCTCCTTGATGTGGAAACTCTTCAACTTGTAGAATGCATTGAATCCCTCAGGTCCCAATGTACATCCCAGACCTGAGTTCTTCCATCCGATCCATGCGAGGTCCTAGAAACATTAGTAACCCTTCAAAATGTCGACTTCAATAGATAAGGGGGGAAACGTACCGGACTTGGGTAATCGCAACGGTTGATATACACCGTTCCCGCATCCAACCGCTCAATCAACTCCTCTCCCTTGGCGATATCCTTGGTCCAGACACTAGCCGTAAGACCAAAGTCACTGTCATTCATGAGAGCGACCGCCTCATCATCCGAAGACACCTTCATGATCGGCATGACAGGGCCGAACGTCTCCTCTCTCATAACAACCATATCGTGGGTAACATTCGTCAGAACAGTAGGAACCTGATAGTTGCCCTCCGCGGGGGTGTTCTCAAACGTGGGGTTCTGGGGCGTGGAGTTGACGGCACCCTTAGACAGAGCGTCGTCAATGTGCGACTGAATGTTCTTGAGTGCTGCCTTGGAGACCACCGGACCGGTGGTGGTGGACTTGTCGTGGGGAGAGCCGAGCTTGTATCTTTATTCCGTCGCGTTAGATTCAGGTATATTTTGAGAGATGCGAGGTACTCACGTAGCCAATTCCTTCTGTACCTCCTCCACAAACTTATCATGCACGTCTGCGTGCACGTACACCCGCTCCACAGCGCAGCAGCTCTGGCCCGAGTTGAAGACAGCGCCGTCCACAAGCTGTGCAGCCACGTAGGGGATGTCCGCATCGGGGCGGACATAGGCGGGGTCATTTCCGCCGAGTTCGAGGTTAACGGGGACGATTCTGCGAGCGACTGCTTCGCGGATGCGGAAACCGCCAGATGTGGATCCAGTGAAGGAGATGAGCTGGATCTGGGGTAGTTGGACGATCTGGTCAAGCACGTCGGGGGAGCCGACATGGACGAGCTGGAGGACGTTGGGAGGGAGACCGGCTTGGGTGAAGTAGGTGAGGAGGCGTTCGCCGAAGATGGGGGTCTGAGGGGAGGGGCGGAGGAGGACAGTGTTTCCGGCGAGGAGGGCGGGGACGAGGGCGTTGATAGTGACGAGGTAGGGGAACTGAGTCGTTAGTGGTGGTTCAGACCTCAGAAGAGTACTGAGTAGCTTCTTACATTCCATGCGGTGATGATCAAAGTCGGTCCGACCGGCTCCTTCTTCAGGAATCGCCTGAAGCCGTTCTCCGGCGTGCCAGGGAGAGACTTGAGGCTTTCCTCTGCGATGCTGAGGATGTGGTCTCCACGCTTGCGGAATGTCTCGATTTCTTTAGCGCTAAAGGCGATGGGACGGCCCATCTGGGTGGTCAATTCTTCTGCGAGGGTATCTTTGTTGGCAGCGATCAAGTCCAAAGCCTTGAGGACAATTTCTTTGCGCTGAGCCAGCGTGGTCTGCTTATATGTGCGGAAGGCATCTTGCGAGGCTTGAGCGACCTGGCGGGCCTCGTCGAGCGAGAGACCAGGGTGCTCAAAGATGACCTTGTTGGTGGAGGGGGAGAGAGTGCGAATTGCGTTTGACATTATGCAGAGACAAATGATGCAAGTGGTGTGTATGGGGAAGGAATGAGGATTGTAGATAGTTAATGAGGGGTACTTCTTATAATGGACGATAAGAGAAAGAGGCAGGGAGAGCTGTGCGTATCTCGGCGACCAAGTGGCGCGGTCTAGTGGACCGCGGTCCCGCGGTGGGCCTTTCCCCAATTCGCAGCACCAACAATCACTGAAAATAATAAAGTTTCTTCTCATATTATTTATTGTATTACTCTAATATTCCCAAAGCAAACCGACACATCGTCTCCGCAAACACTAACCCATCATGTTCTCCTCCCACCCTCGCCATCGCATTCTCATACAGCGCCTCGCCCAGCATTCCCCGTCTTAGCTTCAACAACTCCGACACCATAAACTCATTATACTCCGGATGCCCCTGAACACAAAGAATGCGCTTGGGGATATATAATCCCTGAGTACCACAGATCAATGTAGCTCCCAGGTTGACACATCCAGGTGGAACCTCATATACGATATCGCGGTGCATCATATGTATTGCCTGCAGCGGTAAAAGTAATCATTAGCATACACCCTAGCCACAAATACCAATAATATGACTGGAAGAAAAAAGCATACCAGAGTATCTCTCCCCAAAAGTCGTTTCCCAGCACTCGTCAAATCCACCGACTCAACAGCAACCTCCCACCCCGATACATTCGGACCGACGCGGGCTCCCAGCGCACGCGCAATAATCTGGTGGCCGAAGCAGATCCCAATCACGGGTTTATGGTGGATGAGGTAGCAGTCTTGAACGAATCGAGTGAGGGTGAGGATCCAGGGTTCATCTTTGTAGGAGTCGTATTCTGCAAGACATTAATTAGCGGCATGCCTTTTGCGAATTCTGGGAAGTGGTTGAAAGCACATACTGCTGCCAGTTAAAAGGACAGCATCAAAGTCCTCTGGCTTGGGATAGTCGACAAATGGTTGGACCACATTAATCTTGGTTAATTGGAGAGAGACATCTGCATTGATGCGCCCGAGACCTTCCTTGAGGTGGGATTCGAAGATGTCGCCGTAGGGACCATATTTGGTTCTGATGGGGTCGATGGGGGTATCGCATTCGAGAATGGCTATGCGGAGGGATTGCGACATGTTGTATGCAGTATATTGGTGATGTTGGAGATGTGGATGTAAGAGCTACTGTTGGGAATACTATGGCCTTCTGCTACTACTATATGTTCCACCTGGCATAACCGCGTTCAATTGCAATGAATGCAATTGCCCGCGGTACCTGTATGCCTAGCTACTAATTGCAGCTACGGACCGCAGAACCCAATGGAAACTCTATTATAAAATCATTTTTCAAAAACGAAGCGATCTGTATACGCACGGAGTATATCCGAGGCAAGTATTCCGTACCTCACATCTGTGACCCCTCACCCTCGCGATAAGATAAGCGCGGTCCCAGAGATCCCCGCAGCGCGCTCCGATCGGAACCGCGTCATCCCCACCAAACACAGGCCGTCTATACCAAGTCAAGTCCCAAAATTCGAGACCAACTGATTCCATGAGCTTCACATTACACTATAGAAATACGTTTCCGACCACCGGACCCGACGGCGCCGCAATGCCTTCGCAATCAAGGCGATCAGCCAGCTCCTACGTAGACGCCTCACTAGTTCCCCCAACCCAGCCTCCAAGCGCACCTTTAAGTAGCAACAATTCCAAGAAATGCCCCCCATTCTACGTTCCCTTACAATCACCCCCTTAATTCTAAATTTTGACGATATACACAATGGCTACGACAATCACAGTAGAGGACCTCCCCAACCTCCTCGCCAATGACATTAAAGTCAAAGTCGCCGGCGTCGACTGCGACGGCATCCTCCGCGGCAAGGTCATGTCCAAGGAGAAGTTCCTAGGCATTGCGCAGAAAGGATTCGGCTTCAGCTCCGCCGTCTTCGGGTGGGACATGCAGGACGTGCTCTACACCACCGAGGCGAACATTGCGCCGGCTGACTCGGGATACGTGGATTTTCTGGCCGTGCCGGATTTGAACTCCTTCCGTCGGATACCCTGGGAAGACGATATTCCTTTCTTTCTGGTGAGGTTCGTGCAGAACGACAAGCCGGTTTCGGCGGATGGGCGGAGCATGTTGCGGTCGATTTGCGATAAGTTGGCGGCGAATAATTGCAGGGGAATGGCGGGAGGTTAGTCTATTCTCGAAGAAGCAATGTCGCTGGAAGTGTAGCTGACGTATGCAGTTGAATTGGAGTTCATGAACTTCCAGACCCCCTCGGAAGACGGATACGGCGCCAATGGCTCCCAAACCCGCGACATCGCCGCCTTTCTCGATAAGAATGCCCCCGGTGCGCTGCGCCCCTTGACTGCAGGCAGTTTCTCCTACAGCGCGACGCGCCCAGTGGCATACAAGAAATACTTCTATGATATCTTTGATACCAGCGCGCGGTTTAACTGCGGCATTGAGGGATGGCACACCGAGGGTGGACCGGGAGTGTATGAAGCGGTGAGTTGAGTTGGTTTCAATTGAGTTGTGCGGACCGCGCTGAGCTAACCCGATCAGGCATTGAAAGTATGCGATGTTAGCGACATGGCCGACAAGGTGTCTCTGTTCAAGTAAGCCCACAACAGATGTAATTGTTTTGTATAGACAAACTAACGAACAGACTCCTCGCCAAATCCATCGGTGTCGAACATGGCATCACGCCCTGCTTCATGGCCAAGCCCATGCAAGGCCAACCCGGCAGCTCGGGCCACATCCACGTCTCTCTCACCGATCTCGAGGGCAAGAACCTCTTCGCGCGCGACACTCCCGATCCCAATGCTCCCTGGGCCGACGCAGCCGGACTGTCCGACCTGGGCCGACAATTCCTTGCAGGCGTGCTGGAAGCGCTTCCGGACATCATGCCGCTATTCGCGCCCACCATCAACTCGTACAAGCGGCTGGTGGAGAACTTCTGGGCGCCGGTGAATATCAGCTGGGGATTGGAGGACCGCATGGCGTCGGTAAGAATAATCACGCCGCCCGTGTGTAAGCCGGGAGCGACGCGGTTCGAGGTCCGGATCCCTGGCGCGGACCTGCACCCGCATTATGCGCTGAGTGTGATTCTGGCGGCGGGGTGGAGGGGCGTGGAGAAGAAGTTGGATATCAAGGTGCCGCCGGTCAATGTGCAGAAGGCGGAGAAGGTCAAGGCGGACTTGCTGCCGAATACGTTGGAGGAGGCCCTGAGGAGATTCAGTGACAAGGGGAGTGTTGCGAGGGAGATTCTCGACCCGGAGTTTGTCGACTTTTTCACGGCGACAAGAGAGCATGAGTTGAGGGTGTGGAGAGAGGCGGTTACGGATTGGTAGGTCCTTCGCTTCTTACTTTCGTCGACTGATATGCTGACTGATTATAGGGAATTTAAGCGTTACATCGAGACTGTATAGATACCTATTGTATAGATCAATTCCATGATTACATGTTAATTTGTCCTGGCAGCAGTAGTCCTTAGTAAGCAGAGTTTATGCGACTGTATCGAACGATTATCGGCAGTTGATAAGATGGCCCCACATCCTCCACATCTCCAGCGAAAACTATATAAGAATCAGGGACAGCCCACATCTAGCTGCTTGAACCCTCAATTCCATTCAATTGCACCCAATCCTTGAATACACTATCACAAGGTATACTACAGAAATGGACTTCTCACTCCATTCCCATACATCTTTCATTGGCCGTCCAGCCAGCGACCTCCCGACCCCATCTCTAGTTATCAGCAAATCCGTGCTGGAGAGAAACATTAACCGACTACAACAAGACGTACAAGAGCTGGGACTGTCATTCCGCCCCCATGTAAAGACATTAAAAGTATCCAACCCTCCACTCTGTACATAGCGAAGTCATGAAATAATATAACTCAAACAGACCCTCGAAATAACCCGCCTCATGCTCTCCAACGGCCTCCACCGCGGCCTCATCGTCTCCACCCTCAGCGAACTCCGCGGCGTGCTCCCCTTAGCAGAAGAGGGAATTCTCAACGAGGTACACCCTACTCCCCTGCCTAATCCCCATTTTCATCCCACAATCTAACACCAATCCGAAACAAAATAAAGGCCCTCTACGGCCTCCCAATCTACCCCTCCGCCCTACCTCATCTTCACTCCATGCGCAAATCCCACCCGAATCTCAACATCCTCCTACTGATTGACTCACCCCAACACATCCCCATCATCGAATCATTCAACAACTCCATCTCAGATGGTATCCCTCCCTGGCCGGTCTTCATCAAACTAGACGTCGGATCGCGCCGCGCAGGCGTAGACGTGTACTCCCCTGACTCCGGGCCCGAATTGGAGGAGTTAGTGCACTCCGTGGAGGAAAGTAGTGCGGTGGAATTGTACGGGTTCTACTGCCACGCAGGACATTCGTATTCTGCCAAGGGGGAGGAAGAGGCGGGAAGGGCGTTGGGGAGTGAAGTTTCGGGTGTGCTGCGGGGTGTTAAGCTGATTAAGAACCGTGGTGGGAAGAAGAGGAAGATAGTCCTCTCGATTGGATCAACGCCTACAGCGCATGTTGTTCGTCAGGTTAAGCGTTTCTTAGCCGAAGAGGGGAATGTAAATGGTGATGTGGATGTCGATGTGGAAGTTCATGCTGGTATGTACTTCCCCTTCAATAGCCCCCTTATACATATACGTATTACCTTGGATGATTCGAAGCTAATGATAATGGTGAAGGAAACTACCCCACGAACGACCTCCAACAACTCAGCACCGATCTAATCACCCCCGCGGATCTGGCTGTCCGCGTATTGGCCGAAGTATGCAGCGTGTATCCGCGTCGCAACGAGGCGCTGATTAATGCCGGGACGGTGGCGCTGTCGAAGGAGACGAGCGCGGTACCAGGGTTTGGGAGGCTAGTTGAGAGGCCTGAGTGGGGGGTGGTGAGGATGTCGCAGGAGCATGGGATTTTGGGGTTGTTATCTGGAGGAGCGGGGGATGGGGATGGGGATGGGAAGAAAGTGGAGGATGTGTTTCACGTC